TGGATGTCTTTGAGGGAGTCTTTCACTGCCATGGTAAATCGCTCAACTGCATGTTCGATCTGCTCATTGTATTCAATCATAGTGAGTCGAAAGTTGCGATCCTGCAACATTTCATCAAAAACATCCAAATTCTGGAGGGGCAGGCTGAGATACTGGATTCTTGTGCGGACGTCAACCTGGATGATGAAGTAGTCCTCGGTGTTTCTCTCAATGAATCCGTCAAGCTCATCCACATGACGCTGGAGGATCCTCAAAACTTCTAGTTTGGATTTTGCCAATCCTTTGGCCAGCAAATGCACTCCAAATGAAATCTGAGAGATCAACTTCCACAGAGGATGATATCTGTGACCTGTTAGCTTGTTGGTCGACGTTAAGCAGTGCTCTTGATCGGGTTATATAGAACTTCACTTGCCTTTCGCCAGCTCGTTGGCGCCATTTTCTCCCACAGAGTCGTTCATACTCGGCATTTTCGAGCAACTCTTTTCTCCGAGACTGGGCGTCAAGATGGACGATCCGTTGGGTGTCTTTTTCCTGGCTTGCTTCACAGATTGATTCTTCGAACGGGCCCTGCAACTGTGGAATAGGGTGAACAGGCGATCTTCTACATGGCTTCTTGTCGCTCGGTGGTGTAGGATCGTTGTCTTGTTCGGCAGCCGGGGTAGTTGCTTGTAGCTCTCGGTCTTCGGTCGCAGACGCCATCAATACTGAGGCGGAGTCTTTCACAAGTCATCCAAACCGGGATTAACACTGCGGGCGGATTCTGAGAGCCTTGAATATCCTTTCCTTCTTAGTCTTCGGTGATGAAGATACGATGCAAATTGTGCTCCCACTCAACTACGCTAAACAGAACTGGCAGCGTAATGGTTTGCCTTTCGAGGAGTGTTAAGCCAAATAAAGAGCGAGCGGTTCAAATCCATTAGGTATTGACGCGATGCGCGCTGATTCTTTCACCGAATTGAACGATGGTACAGGATCATGCAGGAGAGATCGAAGGGAGTGAATGTGTCTTTTCAACTTGAACCCCATAGAAGAGGACAAGCAGAGCAAGCGAAATGCTCTGTGGAAAGGTCAATTGAATGAACCCGTTGAAGTGAGTAACTATGGGCCTTGGATAGACTATCTAGGTAAGTGGACTGACTGGCTGTGGGAACATTATTATTACGGAGCCACTTCAGGGACAACAAATTTAATTGTGTTGTCAGCCAGGCTAACATACGTAATTTGAGAGCCGGTGGTGGGACAAGGACAAATCAGAAGGATTATTAGAAGGATTGGGGATAATCATACAGGGAGGCTCCGTGCGTAATAATAGTAATATTAATGTTTTAATATACCGACGATCGCGAAGACCAAAGAGTCCAGAACTTTAGAAAGTCAAGTAATAATGATAATTAAAACAATGAGAGAAACCGTGGTTCTGAGCAATAAACAAACGTATCAATCTAAGTATCTATCTATAGAGTACTGAGCTAAGGTCAAAAACCCGGCCCAGATTGCAAAGATAAGGTGGAACCCAAAGTCAAAAGTTTCAGATTCAGCCTATTATTCAGGGATTTGAGGGAGGTAAGTCGTACTCCTTTACGAAGTACTCCGTGGTAGTTCAAGCCTGGAAATAATTATCTGTTGTTATATTAACCCCAAAAACTTAGGAACAGCCTAAGGATGTTAGTTGACGCTTGAAAGTCAGGGGCTAGCCATTCATATACGACACATGCCAATATCAAGTAGTATCCAATGACAATCGGTTTTGAATACAGAATTAGCAAAGAGTACCTACAGAGTGTTCCGTACCTTATCTAGTAGTGCCTTACCACGATATAGATAGATATCAACCTTCCTTGAAATCCTGACTTTATGCTAGACTGATCTAGAGTGGACTAGAGTGGAAAGTCTCTGTTTATGGCAGGAAATAACGTGTTTGGACTTGATAATGGACAACTTCCATTGTTTTCGCCTCCATCCAAGAACATCACGATGCCAGAGACCAACGCCCAAAAAAAAATGCACTCGGATTTTGAGAAGTACTCGGCATTTCCCGTACGCGCTTGAGCCCTTGCACTGCCATTCCGAAAAGAACTACCTATGTAGATGAGTAGTGTTCAAAAAAAACCATTTTCTGTTGGTCAGGTCACCGGCAGTAATGACGATCGACAGCCCGCACTTCCCCCAACGGACGTTTTCTCCCAGTGAGAGGGTACGAAAAGGATCATTCCATCTTGATCGACGGCTCTTCGTTCTGAACTGCGGCACAAGTGCACAGGGGATACTGACTTTATCATGCTGACACGCTCCCAGATAGCGCCATCACGTGCTACCTTTCTCCTCCTCGGTGAGAAAGACTGGGTCCCAGAAGTTCGTTGGTAAGGACAGGTCAAGGAAGTCACCAAAAAGCACGTCAATATCTTCAAGAGCACCCTGCCGGTTTTCCTCGACTCTCTGCAAATCTGCGGGTGAATCCGTAAGACCTTCTTGTGGCGCAACAGGTGCGGGGAGACAACCAGAAACGCCAGGGCTATAATTGTCAGTCGCTAGCTGCGTGGTAGAAGCAGGTGTTACTGCATTTGACGCTGACGGGATGCTTCCAGGGTCCATCAGCTGCCGAACGCCCTGTCCCTGAGATCGCTGCAGTCCAGGCTTTGCCACGTTAATTTCACGCAAAGCCCTGCGTCCCAGACGTGCCATTGCCTCTGCAGAGTACCAGTAGATGCTCATACCCTCCAACAACGAACAGCACGCCTCTAAACTGGCTTTCGCTCGGTTAAAATGGGTAATCAGCCTACTTGACCGAGATTGCTGATAGGAGACGCTCATGGAAAGCGATAGTGCGTATGGAATGATGGGGAGAGGGGGCAAATCTTGGGCAGATTCAGTTGCTACAATGGAGTGTATCCGGACGGTGGCGAGACCTTGTCGGATACTTGAATTCGAGTTTTGGGGGCGATCGTGCATCCTGGACCTGCACGAAAGAATGGCGACGGCATGATAATACACTTCAAGGAAGCCTTCGAGGCGGTCAGCAGTAGACTGTGAGCGGAGAAAATCCTCCTTGAGAGATCGTGGAACGTACCCAACATGGTAAAGTCCAATTCCTCCCCGAAGTTGTCACCCATGAGCTCCTCAAAAGACGGAAAGTCGGTTTCCCAGCCGACGGTAGGATCCGCAGATGGCCTATAGAATGAGATCACAGTCGAGAGCAAATCCGAGATGGCAAACCACACGTCAAATGTAGTCTTAGGATGAGAGGTATTGACAATGGGTTTTCTCAGTCCAATGTCCCGGTCGGCAAGGAGAACTGGACGGCCGCCTATGCTTGCGTGCATCTTATCCAAGGTCCAGAGGCACCAGAAAAGTCGCGAGAGAGAATCCCCGTGTACTCGATCAGGTCTGTTCAGGTGCAGACCTGCGGTCTGAGCCTCGTGGATAGCCCGACACAGATGCATAGATGCAGCCTCTGCGCCCTCGTGGCCTTCACAATGTAAAGACATCAGCGCTAATGTACGTATGCGGGTGATTCGGTCCGACTCGAGCCCGGCATCCATCGCGACAACTAGTCCAGTGTAGATCTCGGAACCAAACTGTCGTGGCGTACTGAGAGGACCGCTGATGCTTGTACGAAGAAACGACCTGGCGGCTTGATCCTTGGCAGCCACAAGGCAAATTGCCCGCTCCAGGAACACGGACGCACTTCCATGGGAGTAGGCACGAAGAAAGGATTCTTTATCAATAAGCGGGAGGATAGGATGGATTCTGGAGAAATAGATGGTAATCAACTGGTCGCGAGTCGACGAAGGCAGACGATGACAAGCATTCAAAGCTGATGAATACCGCTCTTGTAATAGAGAGGCAACAGACTGGGAATGTCGACTCTGCGGAGCAGTGTTTACATCAAACGCTGTATCATCTCCGTGGCCATCGCTGCTTTGTGAGCTAATCCAAAGGCCAATCCGATCCCGAAAGCGGCTGCCTGATGCGCCATCCAATTTCTCGCGAATCACAGCTTCTGGGTTGAGATGTCCCACAAAGCGTTCTGCTCCGGAATTGTCAGGCGATACAGATGTCAAAATGGTAGACTTCGCTGGCCCAGCACCGCCCAGAGGGGAGGATAATCCGTCTGGCTGCTGATTGCTGTTGGAATGAAGAGCAGTACGCTCAAGATGATCTCCCAGGAGAGCTTGCGCCTGATCTGAGACAGACCCCGAGTTGATAATATGGCGGCAGCGTTTCTTGTTGCAACATGACTTAGCTCTTCAGACCGCCATTGTAGATTAGATGCTGTTCGGGTATACACGCTGGTGACAATAAAAAATGGACAGAGGGCTAAAGCACACAGCACAATGGAATGAACGGCGGGGAGAGGAAGGTTGGTCGAAGAGTAAAATGATACCTTTCTTCGCTGGCAATCTGCGCATGCTCGAAGGGCTCGTCTGCGACTTCGCGATTGGGGAGTATCAGCAACCCATTTGAATTCCATCCTCACATCATAGCGTGAGCTGAAAGAAAATACAGATGCGGCAGAATTCCTGAACCTAGGAAGACGGTTGGATGGTTCCTTTTCGGCTGTGTCAGTATCCTTCATAGATACTCAATGTTTCATGCAGGGCTATACTCCGAATATTCTAATAACGATCGATCCTGACGCTGATCCATAGCAGCATGAAGTGCTTAGCTAGCACTTAACAGTTGCTGCCATAGGAATAGACTAACCACGGATAGGGATGATTCGGGACCTTTGGGAACGGGTGGTACCAGTCTTGATCACCCCAGGAATTATTAATAATAGAGAGCTATAGTGCCGGAGAGTGCAGGCTCTGAACTCTCATCTGGATTGAGACGCTCAACTTGAGACAGACTTGAAAGGGTAAATTGATGCCAAGCCCGCATTACAGTACTATATACGCGTGAGCCACGCGATCACTGCTAGGACGACGCGTTTACACGGGGAAGCTAAGTGCTGATGCGGAGTACGAGGTAGAGCCCACCAGCTCAATTATGGTGAGATGATTCTACATGTGGATTAATCACATTTTCAAATTAGGTGAGTTTTTCTGCTTAACTCACTGAGTAATCACATTTCATTTCTTCTGGAATTTATTATACTACTCCGTACTACTACCCCTTCATCCTTGTCAAGTCGCGGATATCAACAATCGAGCTCTATTCACACACAAAGGAAGCGCGTCATGGCCAGTCCGCCAGGGCTCAAACGTAATGCTAACCATCTATCAACACCAGCGTGTGATGCGAAGAAGCCCAAGGCCAATGGCAGTATCACGTCCTTCTTTGGTGCCCCTAAACCCCGGCCTGCCAACACCAAAACATTGACCGTTTCGTCCTCTTCCTCGAACTTCAACAAAGACAAATGGGTGGCATCATTGACGCCTGAGCAACAAGAACTCCTGCGACTAGAGATCGATACGTTACATGAAAGCTGGCTGTCTAAGCTCAAGGAGGAGCTGGTCACATCGGAATTCTTGGGGTTGAAGCGATTCCTGAAAAAGGAGAAGGAGTCGGGTGCAAAGATCTTTCCTCCAGAGAATGAGATTTACTCTTGGTGCAACTCCTTCCTAGCCATTCCATCCACGAGGCGCGCCGAACTATGTTGCTAATAAAATCAACCCCAGGTCTCAACATACGCCCTTGGACAAAGTGAAAGTGGTCATCATCGGCCAAGATCCGTATCACAACCATAACCAGGCTCACGGTCTAGCATTCTCGGTTCGGCCTCCCACTCCTGCTCCTCCCTCTCTGGTGAACATCTATACCGGAATCAAAAATGACTACCCTACTTTCCAGCCCCCGCCAAACAAGGGTGGCCTTTTGATACCTTGGGCTGAGCGAGGAGTACTCATGCTCAACACCTGCTTAACAGTCCGCGCTCATCAGGCGGCAAGCCATTCAAACAAAGGATGGGAACGTTTCACTCAAAAGGCCATCGACACCGTCGCTCGAGTACGAACTAATGGAGTGGTTTTTCTGGCCTGGGGCTCGCCGGCTGGGAAGCGCGTAGCAGGTATCAACCGGCAAAAGCATTGCGTTTTGCAGTCGGTTCATCCTAGTCCGCTCAGCGCTCACAGAGGTTTTGTAAGTCTCGCTTCACTCCCTCGCCATCATGGCGCACCCTACCGAGCCCTGGTGTACTGACGTGAGACTTTATGCGGAGTCTAGTTCAACAATGGCCATTTCAAAAAATGTAACGAGTGGCTCGCCGAACGCTATGGTCCGGATGGCACCATTGACTGGAGTCTGAACCCGAAAAAGACAGGCGGCTCGCTTGCCACTATCTCGGACCAAGCTCCTGTGATTGACCAGGTGAAGACTTCCACCACGAAAGTGCCTGATTCAAATCCTTCCGAAGAGCGCAAAGTTGCTAGCGTGAAACTTATGGACCCTGACGGATCGCTTGATGAATTTGACGATGATGTCGATGCACTTGAGGTTCTAGCTGCAGCTGAAGCTGCAACATGAGCTGTTGAATATTTGATTCAATTGGTGTATTTGCACTACTATTAATCGCGAAGGGGCCGTCTCTGTGATTCCGGCGTGTTGCAGCTGTATCAGCGTGTCTGTACCATGGAAACTTCAACTGTCCTAAGTTTTGTGTTTTGATTCCTTCCACAACTCTTCCTTTCACTCGGCAGAGATACCACTGCGAGGTATTGTATTCAGGTTGACTGAGAAAGTGCTGCCACCCCCCTTATCCTGTTGATGAGTGTCAAACGAAGTTTTTGTAGCATGGCGTTCTACAAGTGTAGGTACCTCGGTTGATTGAGTCGGCGAGCGTAGCGAACATGTTGCTAACAGAAGACTTAAGGCTTTGTTGCGGCTCTTACCATATTCATCTTGCTAAGCCACATAAGGTTAAATAGAATTAGTATCAAGTGGGCAGTCTTGTCTGCCGGGTAGTGAGGTTCCCTGGGTATTGGGATGGCCCACTCGATAAGCTGAGGGGAAAGTAGAATATGCCGGGGGTAAGATACAATCATGAAGTTTGAAATTGGGATACTAAAACGAGGTCCTTCGGCTAAAGTAGTAGTCTACAATTCATCATGGTCGCCCTTCTCGTCGCCAGTAGCAGCAGGAGCTTCAGACTCGGTGGATGTAGCCGAAGGGGAAGCGGTAACATCAGCCCCTTCTTCAACCTTCTCTGAGGCAGCCTCAAGAGCGTCGACCTTGTACTTGCCGTTCTCCTTGATGAAGTTCGCCAGATCCTCGACGGTACGAGAGCCAGAATACTCAACGGGAGAATCTTTAGCACCGGCGGGATAGAGTTTGATGGTAGGGAATCCGGTGATGGAATCAGGAACGTCGTTGGCAGTAGCATCGATCTTGGCAATGGTGACCTTATCTTTGAAATCACCAGCATAGAGAGCCGCTAACTCCTCATACTTGGGGGCCAGACTATGAAAGACTCGTTAGCTCAACTTTTATGCCAGCCTTTTGGTAGAAAGACGGGCAACACTCACGCTTTACAGTGTCCACACCACGGGGCGTAGAATTCGAGGAGAACATCCTTGTCGTTATTGATGACAAGATCCTGATAGGAGTGAGCCACCACGACTGTGACGGGTCCTTCCTGGGTTTCAGGAATAGGCTCAGACTTGATGCTGGGCTCAACCTTGCCATCAAGAACATCTTGGATGAACTTCCCGATGTCTTTGGCATTGATTTCCTTGGACTGGTCGTAAGGGTACTTGGCGTTCTTCTCCGGATCCTGGATAGCGAAAGCGGGGAATGTCTGAGGGTCAAGGTTGAGGTTTCCGGCATGGGCACCGAACATCTTGGCATCAATTGTCGCGATGTTGATAGCTCCCTTGTGCTTTTCAGCAATGGGCTTGAATTCCTCGGCGTACTGATCACGCTCCTCCTTGCTCTCAGCGAAGATGTACGCGAGAGGGATACCGGCCTAGAACACGGTCCAGGTTAGCTGGTACGGTAAAGAAGATTAATTGTTTCTGATCATTAGGGACAAGAACATACCGTAATATAGCTAGAGTAGGTCTCGGGGCCAATCTCACCCACAAGAGGAGTGCTGGCAGTTTTTACCCAGCTGAGTATCGCTTCCTGCTCGATCGTTCCATCGTAGATAGCCTTCTTCTCGTCAAAGTCTTTGTAGAGCACAATTGAGGGTTGCTTGACACCCTCCGCTTTGGCAATAGCTGAGTCGCTGGTCGCGGCAAAGAGGTAGTTGTCTCTCTGAGATTCAGCAAAAGAGGTGAACACATCATTGGCAGCCTTGTCGTCGGAGGCAAAGTAACCGATGACAACTATCTTGTCCATGGTCTTGATCTCTTCGAGGTTCTCTTCAGTGACAGTTGAGACGGCGGGGAGGGACTGCTTGATCATGTAGGAGACAATCCTTTTTGAGTAAGGTTAGTTCATAATGCATAAGGCCACTAGGAACCGGAAGGCAAGGCCGTATCGAAGGGGAAAGCAGAGCACAGATGATCAGGGACGAGGATTGATAGAGGCGCGCGCTGGGAGTAGAAAAACTTACGAGTCAGCCTGGCGAGCTCCCTGGTAGGGCTTACTGGAATCAGGGCCGCGGAAGATCTTGAGAGTAGGATAGCCCTCGACGCCGTTTTCTTTGCACAAGTCCTCTTCCTCAGTGCAATCGACCTTGACCAAGGGGATATTTTTCCCCTTGAGCTCAGTAGCAGCCTCTTCATATTTGGGAGCTAGAGCCTTGCAGTGGCCGCACCAGGGCGCATAGAACTCGGCCAGCACCAAGTCATGCTCTTTCATAAAATCCTTGAACGAGTCTTTGGTCAGAGAGACGACATCAGAAGTGGTATCAGCTGTCGCGTCAGCAGCAGAGGCTACCGCGCTAGCCCCGAGAAGGCTTAAAACCAAGGGAGCAAAAGACCGCATGATATAGAAAAGTCTCGGAACAAACGAAATGACGGTTAATGGGGTAAATCAAGACCAAAGATGAAGGTCGTCTTGTAAGTAGCTGCAGACTCAATCGTCCTGCTCGATTGAGGAGTTGAGAGTTAGACAAGAATGAATCTCTGTCCGGGTTGCTACCCTACAGCTTAAAAGGCAGAGATGAGAGCGATGGGAAGAGCACAGCGGAGGGAGAACAGACGATTCAAGAGGTGAGCGGCCCCCCATTAAGTACAGCTATGGGGAAGAGTTGAGGACAGTTTGTTCTTTCTGCAGTCAGCTGGCTGTTCGAGCTCTGTGACTGGCTCCGCTCAGCCGCCTAAACAGTGAATGCTGCAAGGGATCCGTAAAATCATGGGTAAATACCCCGTAAATAAGAGAGTTGATAAATCATATCCAGCCAGGTAACAAAACACGTACCCATAATACCCACCTCCAATCCATAGATAAAGGTACCTAAGGTACCTAGGTAGGGCCATAGATTCCAAAGTAGCTTGGTAAGGTTTTCGACGGAGAATGTCCCGTACCCCAAGTCCTACCTTAGGTTAGGTACCGGTAAGAGTCTTCGATAGATACACCATACTCCCTCCGTCCTCTACCTTATAACTTTCATTATCGCTAAGGTACGGTACCTTAAGGTATATAGATACTGTACGTACTTCGCAACACAGGTAGGATAGATAGCAGCCTAGTATGTACCTAGCTACCTAGCTACCTATGCTCTAGGTGCTCTTTCCATTCCCCTGCATTTCTTTGGTATTTGAAGGATCTATATCGCCTACCTAGAGATAGGCACACCTGATAAAAAAACGAAGTACCTACCGAGGTAAGGTACCTTGTAGTGTAATTTATTACACGTTTAAGATATCTTGAGGTAAGGTAGGGAATGATATGCCATACATGGAATCTAGTACAGTATCATTACCAGCTGGTATTGTCCCCTCCTCTTTGTTTAATAAGGTACAGCGAACCTAGAGGTACCTTGCCACGAATGAATACTGTACCGCTCATGGAACCCGAAGGTTGTAAGGTACTCTAGCATCTTTTGACACTGTGAGTTGGTTGACTAGGGGAGTGTTACTCCGTACTCCGTAGACATATTTACGCTCTCCTCACCCCAACAGGATTGCAACAGCTACCTGGATTATCAACACAATACTATCAAAAAATAGTCAAAACTTCGGAAATCGGGGAACGGGTCCTTGACTCTCAAGGTGATGACTTAGACTAAAAGCAAGTAATAAACTTATTTAACATACCACAAGCTTATGCACAGTTGGATACTCATGTAAGGAGTGTGGTACCTATAGAGTCCATACTGAATTTTGCCACATAAGTCTACATTATTCAGAGCAGTGCCCGGCTGCTATAGAGTAGAAAGATGATACTTAGGCTGTTACGAGGCAGGAAAATGAGGTTTCGTGCTTCTGCTAAACAAAATTGATGAGACGATGTCGATCCACTCGATCATCCACACTATTGAGATACTTCCTCATTCTTGATGCGATTTTTTAAGCCGGTCAGTCGATCCGCGACAAAATGGAGGCTGAGGACTCCTGGACCTCACTGCCTCCTGATGGATTAGGACTATGAATAGGTAGTGTTTGATTCTCCGCTAAAAGCAGCAACTAAAATTTGTATGAGCTGAATGGAGGTGTCTTTTGCCTGGACGGTCCTCAGTGAACCAATCATTTTCGAATATTGCAAGTTAATATCCACGGTGAGGGTGAGCCTAAGGCACAGATACAATGAATTTTGGTCAGCCCGGCCGGACTTCTTTAACAAAGTGTATGTTCATAATACTCGCTACATGGCTTGGTGTCATTATGGGGAATTTACACTTCTGCCCGAGAGTATGGTAGCATTAATGGCACGTCCAAAAGCGCTGAAAAGTGGAAACATCCCCTTTTCTAGCAGTAAAAAGCTTCGAGTTGCTTGCTCGTAGAGCTATGTAGTTCACTGTGTCATTTACACTCTCAAGGTAGTGCGTACTCGATCGTGTCCGAGAGAAAAGGGACAGAGACAACGATTATAGAGGAGAAAGAAGCAAGCTCCTAGCCAACGGGCTAGCCGTGTTCCAATAAGAGTTGACCGAATTGGCTTCCATCCAAGCCTGGCTCTGCCGGGCAACTCTAATGATCGCTTAGAAGATCGATAGTACAAATACCTATAGCTCACATTGGCGGGGCGCGGTCCTCGTTTCCTGGAAGCGTTCCGTAGATTTGAGCGCCTGACGGCTGCAATTCTGCAGCAAGAGCAAGCGCATCTCTCTTCCCTCGTTCAACATCCACAAGTAGCATCAGTGGCAACGGGAGAAATATCAAAATTGCAAGGAACAAAAATGCAGGCCGAATTTCACCGTAGCGATCGGTGATGATGCCGACAATTGCAGGCCCAAAAATGCTCGACCCTTTGTCAGTAATGGCATAAAGCGCATAGAATGCTGCTTCGTTGCCAGGAGGAATCAACTCTCCGAAGAAACTGCGGCAGTAAGAGGATAGGCCGCCCATGACAAGCCCATAAACAATTCCCAGTGGGAACATCTCCCACGGCTGCTGCAGGCCCAAAAACCCGAGGCTCTTGATTGCTGGAATAAACCCCAAAAGACCATAGAGAGGCACTAGCTCGAATAAGAGAATGCATGCAATGATTGTTTGAGACGCGCTGAGATTGAATACTCGCGAAACACTACTCCAAGAAAACGCCCCCAAGACACCGGCCACCATTGCAATCACATTGATTAGTCCCAAAGCTGCGGGTTGCATATTGAGTTGTGTCTTTGCAAAGAGTACCGCAGTCCCACTGACGGTGGCAATTCCATCACTGAGAAGAAACCAAGCGGCGAGAAACAGTAAGATGTCTTTGAGATGACGTGTCCGCACTGCTGTCCGATACAGCGACTTCCAGGCATATGCCATGTAACCGACCCAAGAGCGGGTGTGCTTCCCTTGGTGAGTGGTAGTCAATGGTGGGCCTGGGCGAGATCGCAGCCAGAGCGCGGCAGGTATTGTAAAAATAAACCACCAGAGCCCGATTAGAAACAGTACGAGACGCAGGGAGAAGGTAGTTTGGTTGGTACCGATGACGACGAGGATGCAGACTGTTTGTAGGATAATGGCACCTATGTAGCCAATTCCAATTCCATAAGAAGATATCCGAGTTGATAGCTTCAGCTCTTGCGAAACTGGAATGGGAGTTTCAGGATGCATGTCCGCTTCAGCGTTTTCTCTATTTCCTTGATGGGCATGAAGCAGGGCGAGGTGGCATTAGACTCAATGCCATGATCAATATCGTTTGTGGTATCAGAATGACCTTCTTGGGCGCGAGAACCATCCAAAGCAGGTGGGGTTTCGCGGACACCCTGAAGCACAGAAGGATGATGGCGTACCAGCAAGGGTAGGAATGAATTCAAAAGCACAAAGGAGGCTCCAAAGCAGGTGTTTGCAATTATCGCAATCACTGCCCCCACCATATAGATCTTAGGCACTACGCCCAGAAAGAGCATTGTGGAGACCGAGCCAATCACAGCGAAAGCCACTAGAAGCAGCTTTCGATGACTTCCATGGTCTGCGGCTCCTGACATCGATATGATCAAGATGGCTTGAATAAAGACACTCACCGAGAAGGTATACATTGCGAAACTTGCAGTATTTATCTCGACACCGAATATGTGGACCACACACTGGTTTACTACTGTTGGTCCTCCGGCATCATATCTTGAAGAAAGCGTCCACTGGGCTTGTGTGGAAGTCTTCGATGGACCATTCAAGGTAGCACTGCAGGGGGTCACCTTATCGGATAAAAGAACACCGCGGTCGCGAGCCATTTGCTCCAAGGTAATGGGGAGGAAGGAGCCTATGGTAAGTGTCAACTTTAGGAGCGAATGAATGCGAGCGAAGGCCTGATGCCAGACATGTGCATACCCATAGCGCAGACCGTAAAAACCTCTGCTGCCCAGCCATAGCTATACCATCCGGCGAGTTCCTTTCTGCTGGTGGGCCGAATATCATCCCCAGGGTATTGCGGCCGCGTGATGCTCGTTTCGGTTTCCTCGCCAGCCCGCATATTGACAGCAACTTGAGACACGCGCTAGCATTATATAAAAGGTCTGGTTGTTCGAAACAATTGCTCCCTCAGCAACTTACAGATAAGAAAAGGAATAGCCAGCCCACCAGAGTAGAAGGCACTGTTTTCCGACAGACCGCCAACCTAGACTCATGGAAGAGGTGTCAGCAGGCGATTGGAATGGGCTCTCCAAAGCGTTGCTTGACCATACTAGTAAATCACGCAGGCTGGGTAACACCAGACGCTGCGTCAGCTCCAACTAGACGTTGGACAAATTCGAGTAAGGAGCCTTTTACCAAAGGATTATTTGGGTATTGCAGGAACGGCATAAGTTAGGTTCCTAATTTAGTGGACTAACATAGTGCTGAGGCAAAGTAATCACTATGTGGAATAACAAGTGAAGATTATTTTGTCCCCCGGTGTTTCTCGCACACGTTAAGGAATGACCGGCCATTGTCATCAGTTGGGGACAAATCGACTTGAGCTCCTTACCTCAGTGGCAGCTTACCTTATCCATATCATAGCTGTTAGGTAATCTTGACCTAAATACTCCTAGGTTAGTGGAAATGCGGAGAGAACGATACGCAGGTACCCAAGGTAGGTACGTAACAGACGCTAACGTAAGAATCAGGTTATATTACCGACAACTAAAACATCCGGATCTTACTAAGGTAGGTAAGTACGTGTTGGTAATCCCTCAGGCATACCGTATTTCTTCAGGCACCAAGGCACTTCATGAATCTGCAATCCGTCATCTCTTTTCCGAGCGCACGAGTACTGCACCTTTTAGACAATAATACATCAGCCCCTCAGCTTCTCAATATTCCTTTCCATTGCCTGTATATGCGCAGTATATCTGCAAGCATCATCTGTGGCGTGGTCACTACTTTAATCTTCCACAGTGCATAGACGCAATCTCCTTGTTTGCTTCAGCAAAGGGCTGAAGCCTCTGATGGATTCCACCCTTTCGTTCGCGAGAACCTCCGAATCCTATGTCTGAAACAGTGAATCGCAATCAGACGGAAAAGACTTAGTGTATGGCTTATTTGTCATCCTGCTGAATGCTTTTACTTTATGAGTCTCTTGAGCAGGGCCGACCAACGCGAGTTTTCGTGGCTAATACCTTCACAAACTCTCGATCGCGCACCTGAATCAATTCTATAAGGCCGATAAAACTACCTCATAAGGTCCTTGTTCCAGCTTGCCCACGCGTCATTCTTTACTTCACTGGAAGTTTACCTACCTTCAGTGCCGTTGCAGTGCTCTCGTCGAACTAGCTTTGCGCATTCCAGTTGATCACGGATGACAGCAAGCTGAAGCGGTTGTTTCAGCGGGTTGAATACTGTCAGCTTCCCTTCCTGGCCCTAACGCCGGCGTGTCTGGGCTAGCACCCGAGTCAGGTCGCTCACCTTTGTGCCGTGCAGAGGGTGAAGGGGGGGAGAGCTGGTCCCAGAGGCCGGAGGTGCCATATCTACAGACATGCCGGGCGTCATCATGGATAATGCTACTGTTGGCCGGCCCGGGCATGCGCCAGACACTCAGACCCCGAGTAATGGAGATAACTTGCGAAATGGGTCGTTACATATCAACGGAGCAGCCAAAGGAACCAAAGAACACGACCCTGATAAGGAAAGTTATATTGGCAAACCTGGAATTGACGGACACAGAGCTCTGCCTGAGCTACCACATATTACACAGGGATTCTTTCCATTTTCAACGCTAGTCAACCGATCTGTGCAGCAATGCTGGAATGAGCTATCTGACCTTATTACGGAGCTGGCGGCAATACAAGTGTCACCGCATAGCTCAATGCCTTTGTTGCCTGTCAATGGAAAAACTCCTGGGAATCAGTCTCCCGAAAACGTCCAGAAAAAGCTCAGAATACTAGACTTTGCTCATGCTAAACGGGCCGAGTTCATTAAACTTCTCGTTCTTTCACAATGGAGTCGGCGAGCGCGCGATGTCAGTAAATTAATCGACCTGCAAAATTTTATTCGCGCTCGCCATCAAGCTTTTGTGGATGCGTTGCAGCGAGTGGGAGATATGAAACGGGACCTGGTGCAGGCTCAGGTGGCCAATCCGGATCTCCAAACTGCCCTGGAGATCTTGTCCAAGGGCAGGCTGGAATCCTTAGCAGATGTAAGCCATGTTTGCACGCACGAAGCTCAACAATCACTGACTCCAAGTTGTCTAGCTCGGCTACAAGTCCTCCAAACTTCTAACAGCGAGAGGAGCTCTGAGACGGTTGCATAAAGTAAACAGAATCATCAGTGCCAGACTTGCATTACATGATTCAATCCCTCACCCATTCCGGACCTACCGAGTTCACGACGGCCGAGTTACTTTTGTCGTGCGCGGCGAATTTGAGCTCGACTTATCCGTCGGGGCAGAAAGCGAGCTCTCCCAATTCTTCTTCGTTGACATCCGCTTTCTTTACTCCCCATCCTCCAGCATTCCGAAGGGTCGAATGTCCAATGAGATTGATGCTAAAATCAATGATAAACTGCGTGATAGCGGCTTGACAGGCTGCTTCAATTTCCTGCATGGCTTGGTATTGACCAATAAAATTCATATATTATTCAAGCAGGCCATCGAGTTGGCTAAAGGCCTTTGGTCAGAAACATTACGTGTTGAGCTTTTGCATCGAACCCTGGTTGTACACTATTGGGCCCTAAAACCAGGACCTAAGAGTTGGGTCGAGATTGGGGTCAAGAGCGGTAATGGGGATGCTGACAGCCAAGGCTTTGGGGTACCGTGCCTGGGCTTGCGTTGGATGAGGGACCGCCAGGAGGTTGACAGTAGAGACATCGAGTTCGATCCAGAGGATTTGTCAATGGAGTGTCTCCTGCGGAGTGTCATTGCTTTACATATATCTTATTTGCTCTCGTCAGCTTACGGCATCCTAAGTGAACATTCGCTATTCTCCACCGGCACTTTGTCTTCACAAGCTATTTTGAATGTCACTGAGCCTGGCGAATGTCAACTCTCTGTCCAGCTGACGGACTCCAGACATCTTCGGGTATCCATTGAGCCGATGTCAGGAGCCGTCATCTTGTCCGCCACCCCTGGTGTCTCAGAACGTTCCGAAAGTGATGCCATTCTGGACAGGTCCACCATCGATGATTTAGTGGCCCGTGTTTCTCGGCTTCGTTGCATTGCGGCCATAGAGGAACTTGAGTCTAATGTCAGGATTTTGGGTTTTGAAACAGTCAGCCCAAAGGGACTCAGAAACGATATTCGGAAAGCTTTTCCAGCTAATGTCTTGCGTTTTTCCCTCTTCTGTCACCCTTCCTGGGAGCGAAATTGGGTCGTGGCTGCAACAAGCAGCATCACAGGTGACAACTGGTGGGTTGTGCAACTTCGCCGATCCTCAGAAGTTGCAACAGATTTTTCGGTCTCTGATACAAGTGTTCCACTTTGTTCAGGATATAGCATGAGCGATACCTTTCTTGCTACGAGCCACCAGACTCACTCTTCCTCATTCCCCGATTTGGGCTACTGTCTTTCTGGGATGGTAGCAATTTATGCCAACGTCAGCTATCTATCCGATTTGCAATCAGTTGAGTTTCACCCACCATTGTGCGCATTGAAGGTTGAGTCCGATCTTCAAATCCCGGATATTTTCATTCGCTACCAAGTATCGAACCTTCCTCGGGCGCTTCAGCTAGTTTTGCCCGCTGGTCTGAAGAGAAAGAACCTTCTCAAGGATACAGTTCGCCTTGCCTTCCATGGGATTGACCGTCACAAGAATATTGCCATATTTGTGGCGTATGGCAACTTGGTGGGACCTTGGACAGATTTGTGCACATTAGTCTCAAAGTCGGACAGCTCCCTAGTTTTCAAGCGAGGAGGCAGTGGCTTTGCCCTTCGGCTTCTCGCTCCGCCTGGTCGACCTGTGATCGTACAGCTGTTTAAAAGCCTGCAGACTCTGGAGTGCACGTTGTCAATCCTCGATTTTCTTCGGCAAAGGAGATTGACACCTCAGTCGTTATCGCTTACTCACATAGCCTTTGCTTACGGCCCAAGAAGGGATCTCTCAGCCATTATCGGGATCGGGTTGTCCGAGGTCCCCTCTTCTGCGGAGCTTGACCCTGTTCGCATTCTAGCAAGGACTGACCCCTTACTTTCTCTCACTCTGGGTATTCGATTTAAGCATCCGAACCCTCATCGCCGGGTCCAGGGTTCTCTCGCTGCCATTTTAAACCATGCTTCTAATGAAGCTGGTTTGGATTTTGTAACCGAGATTCTCTCTTTTACACTTCCCTTGGTGCGAGCCTTGGAGCAATTAACATCTAACGCGTCTCGCCAGGAGTCGTTCAGGTTACAGGTGATTGTGCGCAATGCTTACACATTCCTCCTCCATTATACTTATCAGGGCTTCCGTTTCCAACTCACAACGAGCCAGCATTCGGGGCAATTGACTTGGGTACTAAGGGAGTTGAGCAGCCCAGGGGCCGGGCCAGGCCACGACCAACTCAAAGCCAAGCTGCGAGGCACATTGTATCATTCCAAGGGAAACGGTTGGAAAGGTCTGGGAAATGGAGTGGTTGCAGACGCTGAGGGAGTCAGCAATGTTATTTGGGCCCTAGATGGATGTTTCACCGGCGCTCAGCATAATACTTGGTTACCGCGAGAAACTAAATCTGATCAGGATTACTCAACTCAGCCAGTACCGGAGAAACAGAGTCAAACCGGGGCCCCGTCGCAGGCTGGCATGGCTAACGATACTACGATGACGGCGAACTTCGTTAATGACAAAAGTCTTCAGCGAAACCCTGTGGCTTCCAATGCTGCAGATGTTATCACAATTGACTGACACCTCTGTATAAAGTCATCGCGACTTTTTCATCTCTCTTGTACCTCCGGGGGCACCAACTTCGCGCATATAACAGGGTTGTCTCCAAGCAATGCCTCCTTCGGATGTATTCTTGCTAATACATTAATTTATGTGTACATCCAATTCACGCCATGCCGTTTTGGCTGCCATATGATGATTGCACGTGAATGATGATACTTTACTTCGGGCAGTTAAATATGATACTCCTTTTAAAGGATCACATGTATACTGGCGCCAAGAGCTGAAACCACAAGCTAGCCCCGACTTAGTTACATCCAATCAGCTCCTATGCTTCACTCAATTCAGTTGGCTTCAGCACTGCAACCAATAGAATTGCAGTTATGATTTGCTATAGCCGCTCCTCTTTCACACGCCCTCGATTTTTCAATATATCAAACTCAACCCATCTCATACATGTCGATCCTTCTTCAGAGATGAATCTTCCTGGATTCATGACATGGCACCCTTCGTAGGTCATACAGAATGGTGCTACTTCAGGATCCGCCAAAATAAACGCTGTCGGCAATGGGTACAGTTGCAACGATGCTGCATGATCCCACAAGACAGGTCGCATTGATAGCGGAAATGGGGACATCGTTCCCTGGTCTAGTATTGTTTTCACTAGTTTTCGTGCCGTGTGCACACTGGAAAAAGATTGCTGTGCTTTTGCATCTGCCGGATGGGCCTGAGCATGAGTTTCATTACCAGCCGTGGCAAGACCAGCCTCGGTTTCCGGATCTTGTGGAATTGCCGAATCACACTCATCCTCGCCTTGCTTAGTAGCCACTGCGTTCCGCCTCAGCCTTCCTGTTATGTCATCTCGAAAGATGGCGATATCATGCAAGGGCCCAAAGACGGTGAGACGCGATGGGTTGGAGGTCCAGATAGCTTCGCCGGCAGGCTCGGAAGCTTGCGATCGCCCCGACTCTGAATTTGCCGATGCAAACGCACGCTTTACCCTCGACGTAAACATATCCGGAACTGGTTGACGTGGTACTGTCGAGGCAGCGCCCGCTGTGAAAGCAGACGACCATGGATCATTATCCCCAGGAACAAAGACGAAAGTAGAGTGTCGTAAAAGTTCAGGATAGTCGGCTAGTACAATGGAGAGTGAATCAAAGTACTCCTTGTACTCGATGCTGCCAGCATGGCCGCCTCCGTTGATTGTGGCCTTCTGGACGAAGTTCCCTATCACGACAAAGCCTATTGGGCGTTCTGTGGGCGAAAGCTCACTATATGTACCGAAAACCTTCCTCAGCGCGTCAAGCGACTTGAAGTTGTCAAGATTAACCTCGCTCATGATAGCCACTTTCAGTCGTACGGGCGAATCCGCGTCATCGTGCACACCTCGCAAACATTTGGCCTGGATTCTCCTCATTCGTGAGCCTTGTGCGCGTTCACTCCCGATCCCTAGAAAGTCGACCCATCCAAACCCTCCGCTAGAGCTAATCTCTCCGTTGCTGTGCTGGTGATTGGTTCCCAGTGATACTTCCCGTCGTTCGCATGGAGGTCCGCAAATTGATACACCCACAAATCGACCCCCAATGGAGCCACCGACTCCGCTGTTTCCACCTAAGACTGATCCTCGCACGCTTCCATCTTCTTCATAGACTCCATCGACGAGGACTATCATTCCGGGAGCAAACCAAGCACCATCGTCTGGTATCGTCCGGGCATGACTCAGATCTAGCGCAACGCTACCTGTCAAATCGACCAAGGAGAGATCACCTGCGGGTGATATAGAGAGTAATCCTAGAAGCAGGTGTGACGTGCCACTTCTTCCAAGCAAGTTTGCAATCGGCGTCAACCTATAACATTGAGTGGGAGCGAATGAGGATGACGACCTCTTCAGGGAGTGGCCTCTGGAATAACTCAACGATGATTGAAATGTCTCATTCCGGAGTAGGCGCTGATGAACAATGTTATAACGGTCTCTGAATACACTAGTCTTGTGTGAAGCCTGCGGGAACAATGTAGCCTTTGACTTTGTTAATTCGAAGTACTTCTTGTCGACGTTGTAAGTCAAGCGCGGCATGTCGAATGCCTCAACAATCTTGATCCAATTTCTTGGGTGTAATGATAAGTCCAAGTCGTCATGTTCCTCATCGTTGATTGCTGGGTCTGGAGACAAGTGTGGGTTCGGTCGCCTGGCATCACAATTGAGGGCATTCAGATCTATCGGTCCTTCTCTTGTTGCGTTTGATTTCGCAGGAACTACCCTTCCTCCACTCATGTTGCCCTCTAAGGTCATCAAAATAGCCTTCAGTGAGGCCCCTCTGCCTTCCTCGACGATGACGCCGCCCCGGCCTTTTTCCAGATTTTAGCTACCTCATCCAAGACGCGCTCCGCAAGGCCTTCTTCGCGCCATCCAGAGCCGCAATGTTTTCCTACAAAGGAAGCCAAAGTCTGCAGTGCTGAGGATGAGATGGTCAAGTTGTGCTTCCTGGTGAAAGTACGGAAAGCTACAGGTCGAAGCGTGGAGGGTGGAAGTAGAATTGGCAAGACTGAGCTCCTCGCGACGGGAGCATTAAGGTTCGATTTTCGTAAAGGACGTACCGGAGTGCCGAACCCTGGAGACGAAGAGAAGATGGGATCAGAGTCCAGACACCTGTCTCCAGCAAGCGGCGTGTGGTCCATTTTTACTTCCGATGTGGTAGTAATTGCTTAGTCTCTTCAGAGATGTCTCGGGACTGAGGACCATATGAAAGTAGCTTGCTTCAAGGAGGATGAGCAGGCTATAACTCATCCTCTGTGAGTTTCACTGCTTTTGTCATGACAGAAAACGGGTAATCTGAAAGGTAAACACGACGCTGGGCTAGAACGATTATGGGGTGATCCAGATGGCGATAACGATGATGTTGTTGTTGTTTTTGAAAACTCGAAACACTATGTATGTAGGTACTCCGTAAAGGTAACGGACCTTTAGAGAGACGCGTGGTTGCCGGTGCTCCACATATGCATACGCGCCGAGAGTCCGCGACAAGTTCTTAGGAAGGCTTGGGCTAAGAACTTACTAATGCTCCGTGCCGATAACTATACTTCGTCCTTCCAACGTTTCGCAAAGCAGATCTCAGCTTTGCAGCTTCATTTTTCCATTCTCATTTGGATGTGCTTCATTTCTCATCGCTGAAAAAGTGCCTGCTGATATTCCGAGCCTACTACGTCCCCACGGTATCCTTGCCCTGACCGTCATGGCAGAGCTTAACTCAGCAAAAGCAGACCCATTAAAGCTAAAACGCGCCGCAGATGCCAAGCGTGTACAGTTAGAAGATTTGATCGCGCGAGCTGCGGCGAAAGATGCAATCAAGGACTTCAATGCGGCTGCTGAGCTTTACTCCCAAGCTACGGAACTCCAAGCCGAGCTGAACGGTGAACTGTCACTTGACAACGCTGATCTGCTGTTCGCCTACGGCAAAGCTTTATACAACGTGGCGGTGAGCAAGAGCGATGTCCTAGGGTCAAAAGTAGCTGGAGAGCCTCAAGCTCAAACAAATGATCTACCTGCAAGCGGCTCCAAATCATCAGCGCATGTGCCTGGCGAGAGCGTTATCAAAAATGCGATCGCTAGTGGGGTGGCTAAGCAAGAACATTCCAAAGATTCTAAATCCAGCCCTGGAAAGACTTTGAACCAGCCCTTTTTCCAATTCAGTGGCGATGAAAATTTCGATGAATCGGAATCTGAGGCAGAAGAGGGCGATGGAGGCGCTGATGGTGTTGACGATGACGACGACGATTTTGCCAACGCCTTTGAAGTCCTGGACTTGGCTCGTATACTCTACCACAAGAAGTTGGCCGCAGTAGAGGAATCATGTGAGAAGGGAAAATCCGCCGGCCTGCTGTCCGATGTCAAACACATCAAGGAGCGTCTCGCAGATACCTACGATCTACAGGCGGAGATTTCACTTGAAGGGGAGAGATTCACGGATGCGGTGGCGGACCTCAGGACTGCACTTGATCTGAGGCAATCACTGTTTTCTATGGAAGATCCTTCCCTTGCTGAGTGTCACTACAAGCTTTCGCTCGCACTAGAATTCGCATCTGTCAATAATCCCGGCGAAGGCACTACTGGAGGGGACAGTGAGCGCCGTGGCAAGGTTGATAAAGCTATGAGAGAAGAGGCTGCGACTCAGATGGAGAAGGCTATTGAGAGCTGTCGAGTCAGAATGGCCCAGGAACAGAAAAAATTGGACGTATCAGACGCCTTGGACGAAGACAGAGAGACAGCTCTGAGAAGGAAAATAGCGAATGTCAAGGAGATCATTGAAGACATGGAGCAGAGAGTTAGTTCCCAAGGAACGTTCTATTTCTTCGTTGCTTGTTACTGACTCATCACAGCTCCTAGATCTTCGTCGTCCGCCTGTGTCGGTTGAGCAACAGAACGAGGAAAGCGATACGATGCTTAGAGGAATTCTAGGCCAGATTGTAGGTCAGCCAGCTGTTGAGCAGCAAGCGCGACTGGAAGCTATTACAAAAGATGCCAAGGATCTGTCTGCATTTGTCAAAAGAAAGCCAGCTGGCATCCAACATCCGCCGCGAAGTGAATCTACGGAGAAACGCTCAGCTCCAGAACAGGTCGAGGACGAGTTCAACACGAAGAAGGCACGGACGGAAAGCGCTGAGAATGTGTGATGGATTGTCGCCCATCTTCGTTTTCACCAGCCTACCCTCGGTGTCGCCATACCCTGCTACGCTCCGGCTGAACGATAGGTTATAACTCGTTGCTCGATTGCCAGTTTGCTGATTCTCGTCTCACTATGGGGCTATCTCTTTCCTTACCTTTCCTTTTCTTTCCTTTCTTTTTCTCTTTAATTTTGAGTTCCGCCTGATACCCAACCTTCATGTCATGCAGCGGCTTGATAAGTGGCTAATCTGACATATGCGCTTGGTCCAACGCTTCTAGACAGCTAATACAACCGTCGTTATTGTCATTATGATTCCAGCATACCGCTGGATAGAAGCTGGCGTGAAATGAGAGGGATTAATAAAAGTACGGTTGTGAACATCATGCCAAGTCCGAAATGACCTATGGGTCTCAATATGCTCTTCAAGACGGGAACCGAAACAACGGGAGATAGCGATCCAACTTCCGACTCCTTCGGCGCATAGCTAAACTCGGACTCCATATCCCAGCAAATATGTCTTCACACTCATCCTCATCCTGGCTGTCAAACTCGATGTGCTCATCACGGTTTATGTTTTCCGAGGGCTCAGAGCTCAGGTGGCCAGGCGATACATTCTGATTAGTATTGCATGGTGACTCCCATGATGACGACATAGCTATTCGTTTTGTTTCCAAGATAAACTTTCCGATTTTATATCGCTGGGACTCTTCCTCGGCGGAGACATACTTCCAGCCGAGCACATTACCGCAGAATGCACAGCTGATGTCGCAGACCGTATGAAGTCCGGTGACGTATTGGCGTGGAACTGGTCTCTGCATCACAGTGTTGGGCAGCGATTCAGCCTGCGAAGTTGACCCGCTCATAGAAACAGCACTGGCGGTAGGCTCTGCAGAGACGAGGTACGCCCGGCCATGACGACCAGTAAACCCTTTGCTGATGATTTGGGGCTTGAGGCACAACTCGGCTCCACATTTTGAACAGCGGAGACATGACACATGCCCAGTAAGATATCTATTGTTTCCATTACCATGAGTATCTGCTTTCCTTGTTGAAGGCAGGTGGTTGGCATTGTGGCGCCTTGGATGGAAGATTATAGATGGTAATAAGAATTTAGGAAACATGGGGGTAGGAGCTTGGTGTTATTTTGTCGAGAGATTATACGCGGTGCGAGCTCAGGTAGATATTTGATTAAATGCTCCATACAGACCAGACCAAGTTTGACTTTGCAACGGGTCACACTGAGGTCATAGACTGATCCAGCATCCAAATGACTTAAGTGCCCGTGATGGAAACACCTTTACACACATTCATAATTCTGGTCATTAATATAACATGCAGAAATGAAAACCAGCGTTAATGCCGAATCGGTGTCATTTGATAAGATATTCCAGGACTGTAGAGTTTTAATGAAGTAAACTCAATGCAACACCTATAACTACAGACTAAGGTACCTACCTAATTACATAGTAGTAACAAGGATGTATCACAACTTCTGTTTTGCCATTAGTATTGTGAATTTACGACTGCGCTTTCCCTAATAGATCTAAAAGACTGCTTCGCCAAAGGACTCAGCAAAATATAGATGTTAATTATAGAGCACTCTAGTCCCAATATAATCATATCGAAGCAGAAAGTCCCTAGTGAGTACTAATCTTCATAGAGCACAGGTTATGTAAAGGCATTACATTTGAAAAATGATTAGTTCCTCTTTGGAAATGGGTGACACCGAGGTAAGACGGTAAACTGAGAGACGCCAGAAGTCCTGTAAAAAATGAGAGATCGTCAAATAACTTGACATTGTCAGACCTCCGCACATAGGAAAAGCCATTTCGTGCTCAGGCAGTGCTCAAGACACTGCTCAGAAATCCAAGGTTTCAGTGTTGTCAGATTAAAACCACACCATCCCAGGTTTCTCACAATCTCGGAATCTGTTACTTCCTGCGACCGGGGAATGCACGCAACAATCTGAGAACACTCAAACATAGGCATGCTGGCTAGCTCGAACAGGGCGATCAACCTGGAAAAAGAGAGAATAGAAGTAAGTCCCGAAGTCGTGCCGAAGTCGTAGAGATTCCGCTGCAACTCTCATGGGATGACAAGAACTTACCCAGCTTTGAGATTGTGGCCAAGCACACTGTCTTTGAAGAACAAGAATAACGTCCGTTCATCATTCATATCAGTCAAAAAGCCTCGATAAATCGCATCGCCAACGTAGTCCCAAACTTCGACCCAGTTTCGAACTGGCCTTTTTCCACGCCCGGTCCAGTTTGGCCGGCTTTGGTACGCATCCATCCCAGGCGACTCTTGCTGCGCGAACTTCATCTCACCAATGAAAATCGCGCGCAATTTGTCACAGAAGAGCCTCTCACACTCTTCCGGAATGGTATACGTTGCCTCCCCTTTGTATTCAGGCAATTGATTGCCCGGCCAGCTGCTCCCTACGGGCGAAGGGACGGGTAGCGAGCGGGGAGGACTTGAAGAAGGGTTTTTCGACCCTGAGGGGACCTCAGGGATACCACTGTGTTCCTATACAATAATGGCAGATGTCAGCGTACATCACGATGCGGAATATTGGATTTTAAGCGTTGGCGAATCTTACCGGTCCCCGTCGTGGTGCAGTAGTGGAAGCCGCTGACCATGGAAGTCAAAGCATCAACGCTGTAGCAGCTTGCGAGTACGCTAGGTTGGGACCGTTGAAGTTGGTTGGAGTTACTACTTTGATTATTGATGGATTTAGCCATAGCGATAGCTTTTCTGGGGACTAATCTTGACGGTGGCAGAGAATTTGATAAGGATTTATTGGAAGTATATATTATCCAGGTAAAGTTGGAAGAGCAATTAATGATATGACAGTAGATACTGGTGTTTGATTTGGGGCAAGTTGGGTTTCGGATAATGTCACTTTGCTGATTGAGTGCAACAGGGGTAGGTTCGAGGTTTTGATGAGGAGATGAATACCATAAGTCATAGTCATATGAGGCTCCATCGGCAAAGAAGCTCCGCCAATCTTGGGCTGCCATACGGATTAGTCACTAGGTGGCCTACCTTAACCAGTGGAGACCGGCCAGATCATTATACTTCCGAGTATCGACTCGTCGGCCCTGGAATATTCTACCAATCTGATAAAAAAAGATATGATTAGAGCACTGTATGATAGAGAAACAAAGCTTGCTAGGGAACAAAAAAGGTTGCTAAAGATTCTGTAAAGGTAGTTCTAACTTCGCGGAGCAGCTACAGAGTTGGTCTTTGTATCCCGTATCCTGCTGGATTCCGTAATAGTTTCGTGCTCAGGTGTCAAACATTGGCCCGGTACTAGCTCTAACGCACTTGCGTATCACAACACTTCCAGGTTGCTTGGTCTTTGCTGGTAGTTTGAGTATAAAACAAACCTCTGTGGATCAAACGGAACGATTCCTATCGGAACATTATATGAAAGCCCGTAAAAGGGATTTTTCCATTCCCTGAAATTGAAGGAGAAATGAGGGCTCGGGACTATCTACATTCTGGGGGTTGCCGAGAAGAACCGACAGGAACAAGAGATGTGGAAGTGATGATAGAACAGCTGCGATGTACATGTATCCTACCACACGCTCTTATAACTCACGATAATCGCTTGGTCTTATTCTTCGGTGTCTTCCTTGGTGTCGCTGAGGATTGACAGGTTGTCGGAAATACGGGGAGTCTTCTTCCCTCGCGAATGGCGAGCTAAATGAAGTTCGTTGTTGATTTGAGAAGTGGCCAACGCCTGGTCCCTGCTGAAAACCCGCATTTGGGGGAATCGACCCCGCCATCTGGCTCATGCCCATCATCTGCATCGAGGCATTTCCCATGTTGGAGTACATGTTTGCTTGACCGTAGCCATTCATTGCACCACTCTGTTGACTACCATAAATGCCATCCTGAAGGGAATCGAATCCCAGATTATTCATTGGATTCCATGCTTGATTCAAATTATTCGGGAAACCATTTGTAGGAAGGCCCAAAGGATTCATAAACCCCATTCCTCCGCCCATGAACCCAGCCTCAGTGAATGGCATTGTAGGCATGCTTTGCGGATTCATAAAGCCAAACCCAAAAGGCATTGGCTGGTCGTGGGTGATGGATGAGACCTCATTCGAAGAATCCTGAATTTGTAGGTTCGTCGACACAGTGCCCGACGGAGCAATCGGATCAGCTTTTTGCTTCTTGTTCGACGGGCTCAAATTCGACCCTTCAGGGTTGGTGCTCGGGAGATTTTCGTCCGCTGGTCTTTTCTTCGTAGTCGAGTCCAGAGCGCCGTTGACTGACGGCAATGATGATGGCTCCTTCTCCCCAGAGACTGTTCTCTCTGAATCAGACCCTTTACTGTTGGATGAGCTATCACGCACTGTGGGATTCTTCTGCGTATCTTTTCTGGAGTCCGCTTTTTCATCCTCAAAGGCTTTGATTTTCGAAACAGCCTCGTCATCCACCGAAAGATTGTCAAGCAAAACACCTTCTGTGGCGCAGCCAGGGCAAACAAAATCACTCTCAATCAATGCATTGGTAATACAATCATTGCAGTAAGTTCGGTGGCAGCATGGTGTCTTAGTGGGCTCTAGGAACATACGTTTATCAATAGGGCACTCCAAACCCCAGGACTGCAATTCTTTGCTGTACTCCGCTGCTGCCGCTTCTGCTGCCGCTGCTGAAGAAGCTTTGGCCTTCTCCTGGTACAATTCCCAAGCTGCTTTGTCTGGCTTCGCAATGACGAAATCACCATCAGCATTAACCATGACACCTGTATTTCGAAGATCTTCATTCGACCCATCGAGTGCCAATGATTCCGGCTTCTCAACCTTCGTTTGGAGTGAGCGTGGTATACCAGTAGATCGCTTCACTCGGTATTTGCCATCGAATTTTGGATCATTGTTAGTCGGACACGCTTGGATCCAGTGGCCTAGACAAACATATCGGTTAAACCCTGTTTCCCAAATTCAACACTAGTCGTCTCTCACCTTTTTCCCGACAGCGGTAGCAAAGATACCCAGGAGGCGGCGGGTGATCAGGAACATTGACCGCCTTTCCTCTCCCACGACCGAAGGGTACAGGTGTAGCACTATTGATGTCCATTAGCACTACATCCGCATGTAATAGGTATATGCATACTTTGCCATCTCCTGTTGCTGCTCTTTCCACTGGCTAGCTTGCAGGTTGAAAAGAGCATTAATCTTCTCCTCCTCTGTCTGCGCGTTATTGAGCTCTATAACGCTGTTGCTCACTGTGTTGCTAGTATTTGATATAGCTCGGGTCGACATTGAAGCATCATTACGAGGCGCGCTGCGAGCGCTAACGGGCATTTTCCCAGATACGTAACGAGCAGCGCCGCCTTTGCCAGGCCGAGAGGCAGGCAACCTCCGAGCGATAACGGAAGTGGAACGGGGAATGATTGTGGTATCATCATCATACTCTGCAAGAATAAGTCAGCGATGACGCTTTTTTAATTTCCTTTTTCGGAGTTTCCGGTTTTTCCTCCAAACACCAGCCCGAAGAGAAGTAATGAGGACAAAACCGCAGAGCTTACCTTCGCCTGTATCCTCATTGTAAATAGACAATTCAAAATCCGACCCATCGCCCAATCTACTCTGATTGATAATTTCACGTTTCAATTCAAAAACAGAAATACCGGTCCCGTCGAAAGTTACCCTTGAAGGCTCTTTTTGAGACTTGAACTTGAAGTGAACAGAGGATGACATTGTATTGAATTGCGCGTCCAGCAAGTGAGTTTGTGAATGTAATTAGATCAAAAATAGAAGGGACGACACTTTTCTTCAAGTTGAAGCATACAAGTGACAGGAAAAATCACGGAGAGAAAGAAAGCAACACTGAATTGGATGGCAGATCGCCAATAACAGACGGTGACTCAATTTCCCTCTCTTCAGGTAAGTCCAGAGATCACGAAGACGGGAAGTGGAATGGCAATGCTCGGAAACTGTACTTTCGAAAGATTTCCCTTCGGTGCAAACAGTAACAGTGCGAGTTACTGTATACAAATAAACTCGGACCTGTTGATCATGAAAGTTGAGAAGCAGCTGATCTGCAGCGACGAGCAGTGGGTCAGAGAATGCAAAGCTCTTGCCAATCCAAAGACCATAGGAAAGTCACAATGTCCTGCTTGCCCACGAAACCTGACGTCTGAGCTATGCCCTGAGAAAAATGTCCGGCAGCGAATGAATAATTGATCACGTCTGGAGATTGACTACTGACATGCAACCCCGAGATGATAGCAAAATGAGGGAACTGGAGCTGAACGAAATAAAGAGCACTGGCTGTTAATCCAGATGGCGTTCTTGGGTCTACTGGACAGTCGCCAGTGTTCAAATAATGGAGATAACAGAATAATATGAACAAGGTCCAAGTCACATTAATAGCAAGCAGAGGAGAAAGGTGATCTATAGCGGCACTGAATTATGTCAAGAGAAGGAAGTATTGTCCTTTAGCACGGACGGAGGGGAACTTGAGATAATTAGTGTCTCATGGATGAAATTTGCTGTGATGAGTTGAGGCGTTCATTTGGTCATGTGATCTTGGTTTATAAGCAACCCTATTGTCACAGCATGTGACTCCTAGATCATGTGACGCATCCTTTCACCCTAGGCGTAGGGTTGGATAAATGGAGATTTCCCATTTTTTCTTGTAAGAATCCCATATCCGAAAATGGATATCGACGCAATGGGCATCATTTGTGTGATTTTGATGTGAGTCATTCTATATACAGTTAAAAACATACAAGCATTGACCCAAGGACGCCGCTCTCCTCTGATCGCGAACTCTTATTAGCTAGAACTTCCTAATACTGCCTACAATGGGGTAACTAGGGTGCAAAATGGGCTGCGGTCAAACTGTATACCATCACTCGTCGCTTTCGAAGTTGCGGACTAGAAATCCCTCGTTCCGAAGGTGTTCCTTGACCTGTCCAACAGTAGACTCACCACGGTGGAACTGTGGCCTCGTTAGCTGAGAACTAATGGGACGATGAAGGCGGCTCATACCATTCCAGCACCTAATGCCGCATCGGTGGTCGTATATCGGAAGACATCTTCAAAATGCTTTGGCACACCAGCACCGCTTGAAGCAATGACAGGGATTTTGATAGCAGCCTTGACATCGTTGATCAACTCCAGGTCAAATCCACTGTTACTTCCGTCCTTGTCGATGCAATTCAGTAGAATCTCGCCAGCACCCATGGCCTCAACAGCCTTCACTAGCTGTCGGACGTCAATATCACGACTCTCTCTGCCACCCTTGATTGTGCACTGATACCAGCAATAACTCTGGCCGCTAGCGTTCGGGTACTTCGTTTTGATCGTATGGTGCTCGGTGTCATCCGGGCTTGTGACATAAACTCGCTTGGGGTCAACGCTCACAACCACAGCTTGGTTTCCATAAGCCTTCGAAATTGTCTCGATGGCAGTTCTTCCGGTGAGCTTTTCGCCGCGACGATAGTACTCCTCAGCCGCAATGACCGCATCCGATCCAATGCTGACTTTATCGGCTCCAGACTTGAAATACATTGTAGCAACATCCAGAGCAGAGATGTGAGTCCCGTCAGGATCGATAGTGTCCTTGATACCGCCTCCGATTGTCAGAGGAACAAAGACGGTCTCCGATGTTCTTCTCAAGATTTCCAACATTGGGGTATCTACGAGCGGGCAATTCCGAAAAGACGTGATATTGAGGAAGGTGACCTCGTCCGCCCCTTGCTCGTAATACCTCTTTGCCATGTCAACCGGCTTTCCCAGATTTCTTACCTGACCTCCTGCGTCCACGCCGACCTTCTCTCGCACATCGTATTGATCACCTTTCGTGACGACCAGATCACCAGCATCATTCGTACGGACATCAAGACAGGCGATGATCCTGCGGGTCAACCCGTCTTCCCTCTTTCTTGCCTCCAGACCTTCCGTTCCGATTGGCTGGAATTTGTCACCATTCAAGAACGCACGGAGAGTCCGTAGTCCAGCTTGTCCGCTTTTCTCCGGATGAAACTGAGTAGCAAAGATATTTTCCCGAGCGATGGCGCCAATAAATTCTTCATCACCGTACGTGGCCGTAGCAACTGACCAGCCGTCGTTCTCTAATACGCCGGCCTTGTAGAGAGCTGCGAAGGAATGAACGTAGTAATACTTGCTGTTCGGGTTCAACCCATAGAAAGTTTGACGCTCCGAGGTTGTATTCATAGCAGAGTTCCAGCCTATGTGAGGCACGCTCTTCCTGTCATCGTTGAATTTCTGCATTCGTTGTGGGATCAGTCCCAATCCGGGGTGTCGGAATCTTCTTCAGAGCCCTCGAAAAGTGCCTGCAGACCAACACATATGCCCATGAAGGGCTTTCCCAGCTCTATATGCTGTCTGATCGGTTCCAGGAAGCCACCTTCGGAAAGCTGAGAGAGGCAATGGCCGAAATGGCCAACACCGGGCACCATGAGTCTCTACGATGATATATGTCAGTTGTGAATCGTGCAGTAGCAGAAACAAGACTAGCAACAGAGAAGAGTGCGCACATCGGCATTTTTAATATCGGCCGGAGACTTGATCCATTCAACATCGAATCCAACTTTGTTGATCGCATTCACCAACGAGCGGACATTTCCTGCGACATAATCGAGCAGGTGAACAGTCGGCATGGCGGCAGTCCGATATCTCAAGCCGTAAGTGCTGTACTTCAATACTAAAGTCGAGTAGAGGCTGAATCACAGGCTTTGTCGGGCTTCGGTAAGCCCGCAGACATTCGGGGACAGAGAGAATGAATGAAAGTGGCTTGGGAAGAAGAATAATCACCCTCCTCATTTATTGTCAAACATCACTCCCCACCACGGCGGGGGCATTTAGCTGAGTCATTGTTCAAAATGATAACCTTTTTTTTTGCTCTTTTTTTCCCTTCCGCCCACATCAATATTCTAGACAGCTGACCGCCTTAGAATCCACTTTCTCACTAGTACTACTACTTCGGGTTCGCTTAGCCTGAAGCTCGCTGACAACGCAGTCTACTGGGTTATTGTACAAGAGTATATTCTACCCAAAAGTGATCTTACCTGCTGGTTGGGCCTGCGACCCGGCAGACAATGGAGCCCACTAAGGTGCGAATGGGATAATAAACCTGTCTTGACCAATGGAAACCAATGCTCCTCTTTATTTGTTATTTCAAAATCTATATCCCTCTATTGCAATGGTTCATGCAAAACAATCTCGAAATGTCGAGTCAGACGGTCTGTAGATATCGCTTGGTCGAACTAAACGCTATATCATGAACAAGCGCTTTATGAGACATCATTCCCACCGGAAAGACTGATGATCAAGGGCAAATCCGAAGCAATGTTCTGAGAATTTTGGAGATAGATGAGGCCGTTTCGAGGCTATATCTGTGTAAGCCCTTTTTGTCGAGTCCGGAAGAGACCGTGTAGCTTACCGGGGAAAACTGTCTCAGACATACTCCAGCAGCTTTCAAGATTGCAGCACTCTGCCTCCTGTTAGCTGCGTTTACTAAAGTGTGGTGATTCAGACAAACTTCTTGGTCCATGTTGTATCCTTGGGAATACACGACTTCCGATATACCGACTTGGGCGATCTTGACTGTACACGTCAAGCAAGGGCATCTACGGATCATCAACATCTGGAAAACAACGAGCAGGGGCTGGGGAATCTGACGTATCGCAATAGAGTATTGAACCTTCACGTATACGCTCTCGGCCTGCTTCCAACAAAGCGTTCTCTTCAGCATGAAGGCAAAGACATGTCGATAGGCCAACGCCTCCTCCTTCTCCACGGTTGCATCGCGGACCTGGTCGATGTGAGTCTCTCTTAGAAAAGCACGAGAAGATCAAAGGCAAGCTGCAGGCCTTCAGGAGATTTCATACATCCACCTTCATTGCAGTTGGTAAGATGCCGAGGAGTCCCGTTGTATCCGGTGCTAATTACACGGCGCTCCCTAACGAGCACACAGCCCACTCTTCTCTTCATGCAATTGCTTCTCTGCGCAGCGAGTGAAGCTAGTTGCATGAAATACTGGTCCCAGTTGGGACGTAGACGTTGCTCGTCGGCGAGATTCAGGGCTTCAAGAGCAGCATGCAGTTCCTCCAAAGAAGAGCATGAGTTGAACAATCGCACTTGCGCACGATCCGTCAGATAGGCACGTCCAATTTCTTTATCGTAAAGGTGCCGATCATTCCATATAACAAATCTTTCAAGCGGAGGAGGATCAAGCTGTCTCCTTCGGCACCTAAAAATGGAGTAAAAACATTATATTTCCATACAGAATATGTTATTAAGGGCATAGGGTCTTGGCAAGGGAATTACCTATCTGTGAACCGCTTCCACCGAAGACTAACTGGCGCATCAACGCTCACTAGGAGGAAAAATGGTCGTTGAAGAAAACGCTCTATGGTCGCAGTATCCCAGATATCTGTTGTGACCCAGCGCTCCCTCCATCTTTTCGTTGCAAAGTCTAGGAGGGATTCGACGCTGTCGAATGTGAATTCTGAATTCCTCTTGTTGCTGAGTTCCGAAGCTTGTAACCGAAGATCGTCTTCATGGTCATCGGTTATCCGAGGGTAGTGTTTGTTGTTCAGCTCAAGGAGTTGGAACTCTTGATGTTCAATGAGGTAATCTGCGATGGCGTGCTTGCCTGAGCATATTCCTTTCCCCTCCAGTGTCATTAGTCCATCATGCTGTGGAATATTTTCGTCATGAAGGGTTCATACTAACCTCCACACAAGCCAATCAGCATTTCTTGGCCCTGACAGGAAGATGCAAAGGATGCCTGGTGAGATGTGTGTGAAGTGGCAGATCCTTCAATCAGTACGATAATGTTTTGGTTTCTTCTATTAACCCATTACAAGCTGATGTTGACACCAGTGGGCTATCCAGTTGATTTTTCAAACAATCGCGTCTGAGGTAACTAGAGGCACGTAGAACCTAAGGTACAGATAATAATAATCGAGAAGATCCGAATTACAAGCAACAGCCTAGCCGCGTAGGATGTATTTAGTGGGGTAGGGAGAACTTTTGGTGTTATGCATGTATTATTATCAACCAATCCCGCATCGTGTAGCCTCTGGCTGTTATTTATATATATTAACATCTAAGAGTCCAGTTAGAGGGAAGCTAATAGTAACTGGAATCAGAAATACAGCACAGACCACAGAATACTGTAGTATTAATACCTAGATGCCAAGGATACCGAGGAAGGAAGAGCGTGAAAGTATCTACTGACGCGTCAAAAGTTTGAATCCAGCGTATTTACCGCTAGCCCGATTAGGCAAACACCTAATATTCTATCCGCAGATTCAAATCTCGAGATACATCTCTCAGTAATCAATATTATGGCACCTCGCAAAGAAATATCTCCGCAGATGCGATCACGTATCTGTGAGCTCCATAGTGTTGGATGGAGTCATTCTAGAATTCACAAAATGCATCCTGATATGTATATAAAATATTAGGGAGTTGAGTTGCCTAATCAGGGCTAGCGGTAAATACCGCTGGATTCAAACTTTTGACGTGCCACTGTAGATATACCGACTAGATAAGGTAGTAGATAACTTATTTGGCTGCGTGGGTCAACGAAACAACGAGGAATAAGCTGGCGAATTCCCAAACAAGAAGGCAGGGAGACTACCCGTGATGGACGAAGTGGCGGATTGTGGATAAGGTTTGCCCATGACCGTCATCATGTCTGACCTAGTCAGCTGTTCAGAAATGATGATGACGGGGAGGAGGAAAAGTCACGTCGCTCTACGCAGCACTTCAGATCTGTATGTATGGGGGGGTGTATTTACCTCTCGTATTATGCTATAAATCCAGGAAGTTGGGCTTGCCCGCCTTCTCGGCCCGCTGTCATTTATTACTACGTACTACTTTTCTAGTACTAGTACGACTCTACTTCCTACCTTATCATTACTCCACTGTCTGATACAGTTGCACTTGAACAGTTTAACGCTCGTCATCATAATCAGAGCAGAAGCAGATCCAGATATACCTGCGGCTCACTCTTTAAAATATTGAGATAGGGCTCAGGGTCCTAGGACATCCACACGACATTATAACCGAACAAAATGCAGTACGCTCCTTTTGCCTCGGACATTGAGCTCCCATTCTATACAGCTCTAGCTACATTGAAAATAGACCGTGACAAACTCGATGACTCTGCTCGCAAAGTATTAGGCCTGTACGAACTGCGCTCCACGGACGCACCGAATAATTCTTGTCGGATGCAGATACATGGAAATGCCCTCACCAGCGACGAGTGAGTCCATAGTCTGAGCTCAACTCCTACTTCCTTTTACAGTTATGTCGGCGATATGTAGGGCCCAGAGGGTATAATTGCTAATTGGCCATGGATTACACCAGTGTACCGGAAGGTTATTACAGAGCTGAAGGGACGATCAAAAATTTTAATACTTTTGAAGAATACCGCGATATCGATAAGCCTCAGATGTTGCAACAAGCCGGGCAAACGGTCAGCCTCACGGTGCAAAAGGTCAATGAAGTTTACTAATGATATTCCGGAAAGATACGGGATGCCATAGAGGACGGCAGCATCTACTTGTGTCCGTCAAAATTATCTTCCTTCATGATACTGTCTTTCGCAGATCTTAAGAAGTATAAGTTCCACTACTGGTTCGCGTTTCCTGCACTTCATTCAACCCCTTCCTGGACTCCTGTACCATATTCTGGGCAGATCGTCGGTGATACTCCGGTTGAACCGATGAATAGGGCACCATTCAAGGCTTTATCCACTCTTGAAAGTTCGACTCTTGTGGAGGCAGTGCAGACCTGGTCCCGCAGCGTCGAAGCTTGTCAGCGAGGCTTCTTCCTCGCAAGGAAGTATTTCGAGCTTGATGGCAGACCTGGGCATGATGCCAAGGGGATGCCCGAAACAGCAGATGGGACATTGGTGGCTAGTTCACAGCAGAGCACCGGACACAACTGGAAGATTGCTTCTCTAGCAAGTTATGAGAGCGGGTTTTTCGATGGGGCGCCATTCGAGGATAGCTTCGTTTGTTTTGCCGATCCTTCGAACTACGACGATGCGCCGGGTTGGATGCTGAGGAATCTACTATTTCTCATCAAGCGACGTTGGGGTCTACGAAGAGCCCAGATTTTGAGGTATCGCGATACACGTCGCGAGAATGGTCGCAGCATGGTAGTCACAATGGAATGCAAGGCTCAGCCGGTGTCACACCCGGGGAGTTCTCCTGAAACAGTGAACGGTGCGCCCAAAGTAACTGGCTGGGAACGGAATTCAGCGGGAAAGCTGTCAGGGAGATTAGTGGACCTGACAGAGTATCTGAATCCCAAGAGGTGAGCAGGTTTCGGGATGTGCCACTCAAAGTACTTGTGTGCGTCTAACGCAATGGCTAGGCTGGCGGATCAGTCCGTTGATCTCAATCTGAAACTCATGAAATGGAGGATCAGCCCGGATCTCGATCTTGAGAAGATCAAACGCACCAGATGCCTCTTACTTGGAGCTGGGACATTAGGAAGCTATGTTGCTCGAAATTTAATGGTACGTCTTCCCATATCTCCGTTGAACAGACATTCACCGAGCTGCTTGGCCTCTAGGCTTGGGGAGTTACGAAGATAACGTTCGTGGATAACGGAAACGTATCTTTTTCAAATCCGGTGAGGCAGCCACTTTTCAACTTTAAAGACTGCCTAGAAGGTGGCGCTAGAAAGGCAATTCGAGCTGCGCAAGCCCTGTCGGAAATCTACCCTGGTGTTGAGGCTACCGGGCATGTTCTTTCGGTGCCAATGGCTGGCCATCCTATCACAGACACGGAGAAGACACGAAAAGAGTTCGGTATTCTCAAGGCTCTAGTAGATGAGCACGACGTTATTTTCCTTCTTATGGACACGAGAGAATCGCGCTGGCTCCCAACAGTCATTGGTAAGGCGGCGGGGAAGATTGTGATGAATGCAGCGCTTGGATTCGATTCTTTTGTGGTCATGCGACACGGCGTCAGAAACGATGCAGACCCAACATCAGAGCTTGGTTGCTACTTTTGCAATGACGTAGTTGCGCCGATGAACGTAAGCCACCATTCCCAAGTGCCGTGTCTTTATGCGACTGACTTTTTTTAAGTCTGTAAGAGATCAGACACTTGATCAACAATGCACCGTCACTCGACCAGGTGTAGCCACAATAGCTTCAGCCTTGACGGTTGAGCTGCTCATTTCACTTCTGCAGCACCCTCAAGGTGCTGCGGCCCCAGCTGCTTTGCCAAACGATGACCGCGGTTCTCACCCTCTTGGTCTGGTGCCACACCAAATCAGGGGATTTCTTTCGTCCTTCGAAAACATTTCGGTTATAGGAAGAAGCTATGACTGTTGTAGTGCCTGCTCAATAAATGTCGTTAACGCATACAATGAACACGGCTGGGAATTTGTGGTAAAAGCTTTGAACGAGCCCGGATATGTGGAGGAGTTGAGTGGTCTTAGGGAGGTCAGTCACAGCAACCCTCTTTTAACCTAACCTCTATTCCTCGTCTTTCGCTTCCCCCGTCCGCCCAAATCACCCAACCCGACCGGAACTCTCTGGCACTGGCCATAAACAAGGCAATTTCGGTTGATATGGATGGCTGACACAACAGAAGGTCCAAGCAAGAGCAGAAGAAACGATAGATGACATCGAGTGGGACGAGTCGCTTGAGAACGAGGAGGAAATCATCTAAGTATTCGGTGATCCGATACCAGGTGCGCAGGGCAGGGCAGCAGAATGAGATGAGAGCTACATCTGGCTGGTGGGTTCTGATCTAGGAATGCATGAGGACCTCTTTCTTCAACGCGTTATTCCTTCTGTCGAGGCCAACAAAGTACGCTTCCCTTGATTCCTGCGCAAGTCAGTGCGTGATGACGATAACAATACTCGATATGTCCAGCACGTACATTGCGCGAAGACTCTGGCTTGATCCTGTGCACTCTATGGAAGAGTGCTCTGAACTGTCTCTCTAGTTCTTTGTCCTCGACCCCTTGATAAAATTTGCAAATGAAATGACCTCCAGTCCGTAAGGTGTCAAAGCTGAATTGCAATGCGGCACGGCAGAGGTCCTATCAGATCAGTCAAATATGTACGATAAGTATGACATTTGATTGAAGTACCATGCTGCCGGCGTGATCTCGAAAATTCACGCCGCTTGTGTTCATCATCCTATTATAAGGGTCACTTAGACTTCGCTTCCAGAAGCCGGTGGTTTGGAACCAGGGAGCACACATATCGCTTAGAACCACATCTACCGTTCTCTCCGACACGGCATCACTTTGTCCGATGAACTCGCTATTGTGCTCCAGGCTCGCGGTCGAACTCAAGGTCGTATTATTGTGTTCGTCTCCGTCCCACGGACCAGGGGAACGCGGTCTGCCTCTACAAGGATCGCGGAGGAACTCCCGAACATAGGCCTGAATATCTGGGGCAAGGAAGTTGCCCTGTATGGTAGAGACGCCTTTGGGGGCTGTGCTGGGATTATGTCTACGCCCAGGACTCGACCGTTCGGTTGAGTTCGAGTCGCTGCCACCTGAGAGAGTTAGATGTCTATTAAAACTGCCGCGAGATCAAACAAACCTGAGACCAGGAGCCGGGGGCGTATCCCTGATGAGAATAACAGAGGTCAGCCTGAATGCCCAGACTTGAAAGCGACAGGGGCGGTATACCAGATCCACTACTGTTTGCCCACTCTTGAAAATGTGATATTTCTCATCGATCTAAATTACCTGTGTTTAGCATAAAATGAACAGTAAGGCTCAAGTAATCCATACCTGCAATAACTTGAATGCTGCACGGCTCTTCAAGCCTTGTACTGCCGCAGCTCTTGTAAAGTGGTCTTTGATCTGACGTGCTTGCCATCTCTTCGAGGATGAATGTCTCTTGAATATGAGGAGAGACGTTATATCACTGATCTCGAGTTTTATAGTCTTAGTTGGGCGGGACGAAAAGAACATGGTGCTGGGATCTTTCTATGTGAGGTAGATACCCAATTTGATTGGTGTCTGCGGGAAATTTTGGATGGCGGGATCACGTCAATGTATTATTGGATTGGGCCGTCCTTGATAATCAGGTGTGATACAATATAGATACTGCAAATCTAACCCTGCCCGATGATGGAGGTGACGAGAAAAGGAAAAGAACAAGTACCAGTAGATAAACTCTGTAGATAATATACTCTAGTAGGCAGCCCTTTAGAAGTTGTATTCAAACAGCGTAGGACACTAAGATACTGAAGTAACAGGTTGTCATGTGGAATCTTGGATAAGGGTGGAGAGCTAATGAGTAATCCATCAACGACAATGTAATAATGATAGCTCTCGTCTATATCAGAAGGTTTTAGTAGCTAAACTCAGAGTATAGGTATCACCCCACCCCTATCTCCTTTCATTAAAACATGCTGTTCCCTCTCCAAATCAAGTGTTAATTAATTGACGCCAAACAGCTGCAACATTGGAGCTAAGCTACGGATTGTAGATAGATAGGGACGCTTCTTACAATATGTAAGGGCTATACTCCCCTAGATATAGCTCAACTAAGTTTCTTGCCCTTCATGCCCTAAGACATTCATGTAGTCAACCCCATACGCCCACCCTCCGTAACACAGCGACTAGTCCAATTATTGTTCCTCATATCAATCTAGAATTTACATTGTAGTTTAGTACATAGGTAGCGGGCTTTTTACTTTCAATGAATAGATGACATTCTGTAGATCAAGCAGTTCATAATATATTATAAGAGCCATCGGTCGCTGCACTTGAGACAGAGTCCGGGCAGCGTCTTATGCAAGTATTGATGCAAGTATTGAGCCAGGTACCGAAATCTCTCCACGTGAAAGAATCCACAATCATGAAAAAGGAATGCAGTAAATGATGAAGCACAGCATTACTAAAATCAAGGACTACCGCTACGGATAAACATTATATTCCTTCAAGGTTTTCCACTGCCTACATTCTCTTTCTGTCTCGCTTTAACGGGGAGAATCCCGTAGGGGCACCAAAGCCTCGGCTGTGCACTATACTGGATCGGGCTGTTAACTGTATATCGTCTCGGGAAGTTCGTCCAGGACCAGGAGCAAGTTTACGGGCTGGCTTTCTGATGTCCTGGTTGTCCGGGTCTTCTTCATCCTCAAACAGGTTCCTATCTCGCTGGAACCCCAATTTACGCCTCTTCAATTTCATCTGACCATGACTAGAGGCCCTGTTCTTTGGAACATCGTCACCTTCTGCATGGTTTTCGACATCAGTCTGTGGGGAGCGTGACCTGGACGATACTGCTCTGGCCATTTTGGACTTGGTACCAATATGGTGGGATAGTTCCGACCGCTTTTTAGACGGTTCCGCCCTGGACAACAGCCCGTCTTTTTGCTGTGGACTGCTGACAGTTGCATTCTCGGCGAAACCCATGTTGTCACTTGAAACTTTCCCAGGTGTCCCCGCGCACACAGTGACCGTGTGTAGCTCATTTAAATCGTCATCGGAGCTAACTGAAGGATTCTGAGGTTCACTCGCGCGTTTCAAAAATGGGGTAATCGAGAAAGACGATTTATCGCCAGGCAATGCTGTTGGTTGCTTGGTGCCTTTATTCCAGGACTTGATCGCCCCTGGTGTTGCAATGGTCAGTGCGGGAACAAATTGGGTGCCCATTGTTCGATTAGGAGGAGCACGAGATTTTGCATGGGGCTGAGGACTTTCAGTGGCTTTGAGATTATTACGCCGCTTTTGACCATTACTCTGAGCTTCTTGGAGTTGATCTTTGACTTGCCGCAATTTTCGATTGAGATCTTCGATCCTTTCTTCGAGAGCAGCGCGCTGAGCTTCGCTTTCATGTTTTTGCTGACGAGCACTGCGCTCTTGTCGTTCCCGAGCTTCTATTTGCTCTGCAAGTTCCTTACGTGCTTCCTCAAGTCTCGAAGACAAATTGGCAATTTCCCCTGCCTGACGAGTCTCTCGGGACTGAGCACGTTCGTGAGCGCGCTTTTCGTTCTCCAATTGCTCTTCGGCGGTAATCAGCTGGCGTCTCAATGCCTGTTTTTCGGCGATGGTATTCTGGGAAGAGATGTTTTGTACCCTAAACCGCTCCGCTTCTAATTGAAAGTTGGAAAGTTCTTTTGATAGGCGAATATTCTCGTCTACCAATCTCTTAGATTCAACGGCAGTCTTGCCCAGAGAAGCAAGTTCGCCCTATCGTAAAAGTCAGAGTGATGTCCCGACAGGTCAAGGTATAACGGGGCAACGCACACGAAGATTCTCTATTTCATGTGACGAGGCGGCGAGTATATTCTTTAAGCGATTCACTTCATTGAGGGTCTTATTGAATTGAACGCGTAGGCACGATTCAGATTCTCTGGCTCTGACTAGTTCTCCGCTGGTCTCCTCTAGCTGCAAGTGCAGGCTGTCATTTTCGAACTGGAGAAGTAATTGCTGCATACGTATTTCCCGAGCTCGCTCGATTTCTAGAACAAGTGTTGTGCGGCCCACTGCACGTTCATATTCTTGCTCATAGTGTGCTGTGGTAAGTGCCATTCGGCACTGAGGAACTGGGTGAGTTTTCACTTGCATCTCGTGGTCGTAAAGTATACATACATCATCAAAACCCGGTGCTGACATTTGGACGAGAGAATTCAGTGTCGGCTTGCAAGGGAGATCAACAACAACTAGGTATGCGAAAATTGAGTCGTCAAGACTGTATTATTGTGGCATGAATTCTAGTTTGCTTGGGGTCCGTGGTCATGTCTGAAAAAACAGTCTGTAACGATATCAATAGGTACCTATCTATTTTCAAGGTACGGGGGTAGTCAACGTAAGGTACCGACCGTACCTCCGCTATTATTGTTTGGGGCAGCGGCCGACACGCGTCTTTCAACTTTCAACGGAAAAATTAGCTCGGCAGCTCCCGAAGTTGTGGACACCTGGACTCTCTAGGTTGCACTGAAGCGATTATTGCGTAGTTATTGAGTGCCACCATCATCTACTCCGTCCGGAATACCTCCTACACAGACATCAGATAATGACCACTGATCCTTGCGGATCGTTCATTCACTGCGTTTTCCAGTGTTTCTTCACATTCGAGCTCAACAAAGCATCTTAAATGAGCCATTTTTCCAGACCCTCGAGAAAATGAAATTCAACTTTCTTATCTCTTTCCTCTGCATTGCGACGAGCGCGCTTTGTACATCCTCAGGCCCTGATAAGTACGAGAAATACAAATCAGTATCTCGTGTCGCCCCGATTGAATTGACGGATGTTACATATCGTGATTTGACCTCAAAGCCTCGCGACTTCCACGTCGCGGTTCTTCTAACAGCTACTGACGCTCGCTATGGTTGCGTCCTATGTCGCGAGTTCCAATCCGAGTGGGACCTCATTGCACGAAGTTGGAATAAGGGCTCCAAGTCAGACGATCTTAAGCTGCTCCTCGCTACTCTGGATTTCAGTAATGGCAAGGAGACCTTCCAGAAGGTATAAGAATGATCATTCTTCCTGAACCCTCTTGATGTATTGTTCATCTAATCTAATGAGGAAAAAGCTGATGCTTCAAACTGCGCCTGTCCTTCTCTTGTTTCCTCCCACAGTCGGCCCTTTGCCAAGGTTGACAATGCACCCGTAAGATTCGACTTCACTGGGTAAGAGTCTCCTGGATCTGCCACACGAGTTCTCCGTGTTGATGAAAGACGTCTAGCCCAATATCTGCCGACCAACTCTACACATGGATCAGCCGACATCTTCCGGAAGGCTCAAAACCACCTCTCATCCGCCCAATCAATTACATGCGAATCATCTCTGCAATCACTATCCTTATGGGTGGGATAACTTTGTTCACAGTTTTGTCTCCGTACGCCTTGCCGATCATAAGAAACCGAAATCTGTGGGCCGGCTTTAGCCTGATTGCTATCTTGCTGTTCACCAGTGGCCACATGTTCAATCACATTCGCAAAGTACCTTACGTTGTAAGTGATGGCAAGGGAGGCATTAGCTATTTTGCTGGTGGATTCTCTAATCAGTTCGGCATGGAAACGCAGATTGTCGCTGCCATTTGTAAGTCGTTCACGTTCCGGAGACACGACCATGTCCACACACATACTGATGATTCACTGTGATTAGACGCTGTACTTTCCTTTGCAGCGATTGCTCTTTCCATGAAGGTCCCTCGCATGGGGGACAAGAAGGCACAGCAACTGGCCGTCGTAATCTGGGCAGGCGTACTGCTCTGTATGTACAGCTTCCTCCTCAACGTCTTCAAGACAAAGAATGGCGGATATCCTTTCTACCTCCCTCCTTTTTGATTTTCAGACATCACCAGGGTTTAATCCTAGTCCTTCGACCCGTTGGTGCGATATCCTTGAAGCAAGAGAGCCCGATCTAGGTGCAGCAATTCACCTGCTGAAGCCTTCTTCCGCGGATGGGTTTGCGAGCTCGACTTTCTCCTTCATGGTGTTTCCGGATCTTGGACGCCTATCTACTCTACATCAGCCTGCACTACGATTAGGCGAAGGAGCTCTTGGTTTTTCCCCTCATTCCTCACGAGCCTCAGCGACCTTAGCCTTCACAATTAGGGTACTATTGTAATGCAGAAGAGTCCGCTTTTTTGACAAATAGAGAAAGACCATTCGATGGATAGATGACATGAACGTCTGCAAAATGAATCCTAGAACGCAGGAAACCAAAACATCTTAGATCGACACAGTCAAAAAGATCTATTCAGCAAGTGCATGGATAGATACACTAGGAGCTCTTTCATCTTCATTTCAGGCAGGTGAATTCTGGTAAAGATAAAATGTGCAGGTCAGAGGGTTTGCCCTCGTGATTTCCACAGGCTCTTCTTCTACATATGCGGACCCAGTGTGGTTCACCCTACTGCGGCGGCGGCGGCTGCGGCTAGGTAGAGAACAACATCACAACAGAGCTCAACCTTGGTCCGGCTCAGCACCGTGTGCCTGAAGAAGTAAGTCATTTCTGAAGACAAAAGACTGCAGCTTTTGTCTTAGGTCATACTCGTCTAAATCGCAATTGTGTTTCAACCTTCGTTATCCACGCGATCAGTCCCAGCTCGATAACACTTGCAGATTAAAAAGGTTCATATGAGACGTGCAGAGAGCATGCCACTATGTCCAAGCAAGACAGACTTCGCACTAGAAGGGCTTTGGCATCATCGGTGTCGGGAACTACGCTTTTGATCATGATCCAGTTGGTTTCGCGGCTGTTCACCTTTGTTGCTAATCAACTGGTCCTGAGGAACCTGTCACCAGCGACTCTGGGAGCAGCAACTCAACTCGAGTTGTTCATGGTTACGATCTTATACTTCTCTCGGGAGGCCATCAGATTAGCCATTCAGAGACAGCCTCTGGATTCGGCTTCATTCCCCGACATCAGCAAACAAGAGAAGTCGCGCATAGCTTGCGACAAGGAAATGGAAGCTCAATCTATGGCGACTCAATCTATAGTGAACATGTCCTACCTCAGCCTTGGAATTGGAATCGCGCTGTCTATCTTGCTCGGTACTTCCTACATACAGTTTGCTGCTGAGCAGGTTGCTCAGACATCTTTCTATCGCGGCAGTGTGGCAATCGTCTGTCTCGCGTCGACCTTAGAGCTATGCACTGAACCTTTCTTTGCTGTAGTCCACAGATATATGCTGTACAAGACTAGGGCGACCGTTGAAATGGCCGCGGCATTTGTAAAGAGTCTAACAACGTGTGGTCTATTTACCTGGGCGTCCTGGAATGGAAACAATGTCGGTATACTTCCATTTGCACTTGGTCATCTCTCTTATGCCTTGGTGCTTCTCTGCGGCTACTCTGCAGCTCTGTCAAACGCAGCGAGTAGATGGCATTTTTCGTTTCTGCTCAGCCGCATAAGAACAAGGTATGTGGAGGTCAATCCTATTGAATAAGACTCAGCCATGATAACAGGTCCAAGGGATAAGTCCGTTTATGTCATGGGCATGTTTTCGTCGCAGTTGATCTCTCTATCTGCAAATCTCTTCTTTCAATCTGTGGTCAAGCATTTGCTCACGCAAGGGGACGCCATGATGCTCGCCGCAATGGCGAGCTTGGAGGATCAGGGGATATATTTCCTCGCTTCTAACTATGGTGGTCTTATAGCTCGCGTCCTTTTTCAGCCAATTGAGGAAAGCTCTCGCACCCTCTTTTCGTCACTGCTGGGTCTCAGTGACTTAAACGGAGAAAAATCAAGCAACATCGAGGCTGCTAAGACGCATCTTACCGACGTCATGAAGGCATACGGGATCCTATCTGCTCTCATCTTTCCTTTGAACCCCGTCATAATCAAGCAAATGCTTCACCTATTGGGTGGTACAGGATGGGCTGGTTTTGAAGTCTATCGCCTGCTTTCGCTTTATTGCTCCTATATACCCTTTTTGGCATTCAATGGTATAACAGAGGCCTTTGTCTCGTCTGCTGCTAATGGGTCGGAGCTTCGATCACAGGCGGGCTGGATGGGGGTTTTCTCAGCATGCTTTGCGCTAGCGGCCTACCTGTTCCTGAGAGTTGGCGACCTCGGCGCTCGTGGCTTGGTGTACGCCAATATAGTCAACATGACAGTGCGCATACTTTGGAGTCTAAATTTCATACGAGAGTACATGCACAATCATGACAACGACATAACGTTGACCGAGTTCGGCTTGAGTCCTCATACCTATATTGCTGGCTTTCTAATGACCACAATCACAATACTCGGGCCAGAGCTGTTCCACAGCGATTCTCATGGTCTGATACAGGCGGCAGGGTTTTGCGCCTCCTATGCCATTCTAGTGTGAGTTACCCTTTGGACAAGACTTGAATGAGCTCTGACGGCCCTCTATGATAGTCTATATTTCGAGAGAACGTATTTGAGGGGATTGTACAACCGGGTTTGTCAAACTTGGAAGCAGGACACCTCATACCGCAAGACAAAGTAATACGACTTCACTCATCGAAAACAATCTTTGTCGCTGACTTGCTGGTATCCACATCCTTGAAGAATGCACCGTACGCACCATGCTGCTTCTTCTTCACGGTTGTTCCAAACTTTAGCAAAGCGTCCGGTACTTCTTGTTTGGCTGCTTTCAGAACGTTTATCAACCTGTGACAAATTAGGAAGATGGCCACAATAGCAGCCTACCCAAATATATAGGCTGATTTACGGTTTTGAGAACTTACGCGCCAGACTGAGCTTTATCCGTTTCTGTGAAAAGAGTAATGGCATGGCCATCGGCTCCCGCGCGCCCGGTTCTATTCAAAATCGAATTAACACATTTCAGCCGAGAGAGAACATCGTTGCTTACCTGCCAATTCGATGTACATAGTCCTCGACCGTTAGAGGAAAGGTGACATTGATAACCAATTTAACCGACGGTATGTCAAGGCCACGGGCTGCCACATCGGTGGCAACAAGTACAGTAGCCGCCCCGGTTTTGAATGCCTCCAGACTTTTGAATCTTTCGTGCTGGTTCAAGTCTCCATGTATCCCTGCGACTTTGAAGTTCTTGGTTCGTAAAAGTCTCTCGACACGAATCGCTTCTTTCTTGTACAAGCAAAAGACAAGAACCTTATCGCAAACTGCTGCGCCTCGCTGAGAGCGACTGAGCAATTGCACAAGTCTAGCCTCCTTCTCCTGAGGCTTCACGACCTCGACCACCTGTTTAATCCTGGTATTAGCACGCGGATCGGCGGAAGGATCACCACCAATGGTGACAGTCACAGCTGAAGTCATGAAAGTAGCCGCCAGGTCTCTGACGCTTGGAGGCCAGGTTGCAGTGAACATAACTGTTTGGCGTTTTGAATCTGGCGTGGAGCGGATGATGTCTTTTATATCCTGTTCAAACCCCTTGTCCAGCATGCGATCCGCTTCGTCCAGGACTAGGTATTTGACCTTTCCAAGATCCACGGAGCCATCGTTTTGAAGATCTTTTAGTCTACCAGGGGTGGCAACAACGATAGCTGCAGTCTTCAGGGCCTCGCGCTGTTCGTCTTTCTTCACACCCCCATAGACACATGTTACTCTGATGTCCACAGAGGCCGCAAACTTCGAGAGCTGATCATATATCTGCATTGCAAGCTCCCTGGTTGGCGAAATGATGACTGCTGCAGGTCGTGCATGTTTTCGCTTGGCCTTCCCTGAATCCAGAATTTTCTTAATACACGGCAAGCCGAAAGCCAATGTCTTCCCGCTTCCGGTCTCTGCAATGCCTATGACATCCCGACCGGCGAAGAGCAGGGGCCATGTTGCAGATTGAATAGGTGTTGGCGATGAGAAAGAGCTCAATGGGTCATAGATCTTGCTGAAGCTGCTAGGGAGGTGAGAAAACGAAATTATGGGGCGAAGCGGCGGCGCTTCCGAAGAATCAGTCACTTTAATGCAATGCTTCGCGAGAAACTGGTCTATCTCAATCTGAGAAAGATCACCTAGGGCTGGTGACTGGACGTAAGTAGCATCTGGTATAGTATCAAGTTCATTTCTAATATCTTCCGCAGACGGCGACATCTTCGATCCCTCTCCATTTCTTTCATTCTTGGATCTCTTTTTGGGCTGGTAATCGCCACCTTCGTGGTGGGCACGCTTGGCCATGATGAGGATCTGCTGAGCTTTGGTCTTTCCTTACTTCTGAAACCAGGGACTGAGCAAATACAGATAGATCGACAGATATGGGAGATAGAAGACCAAATCTCACAATAACGAGAAATGTAAACTTGCGTAATCAAATAAGATATGGTATCAAGAGATGCTGTGTGTGGAAAGGAGTGGGAAAAATTTCTAGCAAGTAGGAGCAAAATTGTCATAATTTTATTCTGCCAATCAACACCGCCAATATCTGTACCATATTCAAAATGGGTGTCATTTCTCGGTTGTCATTTCAAATTAAATTTTCAGGCAACCCTACTTGGGGGATAATATGGTTAAATATTAGTTAAGTTGCATTAAGATCATCTGATTTAAAAGCCCAGAGTTATTACTATTCAAGTACTGTCTACGGAGTATATATTATGTATATATTAGTAACATACCCTAAGCGCACTTTATAACTACTTACCTATTAAGCCAGCTAGGCACATCATTAGATAAGCTCTTAGAAAAATGATATTCCCATATGCTCTATCTTGAAAGATTATCCACTCCTTAGAAGCTAAAGAGAGCCTCCTAGCATATCTAAGTGTCACGGGGTTGCGGCCTAGGGGCATCACTACCTCAGGGAGGCTTATAGGCATGTTCTAGGAATCGCCATTGTGACCTTTTGGTGTTGTAGATAGTAGCTGCCTAGAACACCACTTTCTTACACTAAGCTTATGATACTTGGGCTTCTATACACTCCTTTAGTAAAGTAGATTAGCCTGGAATCCTGGATTCTGAATATAGCGTACTTAGAGACCTAGCACTCCTTTACTAGCATTAAATATTATAGGAACCGTACCTCTCATATGGAGGACAGAGTAACATCCCAACCCTGCCTCCTTGCCGGGGCCTACCTCTCTACATACTACAAGAACTCAAGTATATGAGTGGACTATATAGTCCTCCACTAGCTGAAGACAGCCGTAATTCCTGTGTTATCGTTAAGGGGGACATGAATGGGGGAAGGCATGAGATTACAGGGACAGGGCTCCCGAACCGACACAAAGACGATCTTTGTGGTAAGTACAAGGCTGATTGTCATGAAGAAAATCACCTAGAAACGGCAGCTTGGTTAAACTTCATCCGACTTCATACCCTCGTATGCATTACCCTTCCCAATTACCCAAGACATACGTGGTATGCGAGACTCTGGGAACTTCCAACCAAGAAGTCGAGTTCTAAACGAATTAAGCGGAACGACGTTAAACACTCATACATTCACGAATATCTATAAAGATAAAATCGTGCATGTAACAAATTCAAGCCTCGGAAGGATCAGACTTGTCCAGGAAAGGCAAATCCACTATCAATCCAAGGGATATCAAGAAAGGCCATATGAATTAATCAGGGCCATGAGGCGAGATGCTTCCTCCGAGTAGTTGACAGGTTTGGCCGTCGATACCTGATAACGGATGCTAATTAAGATGTCATTAGCGGTAGGTTCAATATTGGTAACCAAACAGCAGATGCTTACCGTTGCTGATCTCCGAAATGATCAAGCTTAGCCCGACATCTGAAGTTCCAAGTTCGACAATTAGCTTCCTGGAAGATGTCTCCAGCGGCCTTTTCTCCATTTTGGCGAAGATCCATTAACTGATCCGCAGACGTGCCCATTAACTGTTTCCCGACCTCATCGAAGCAACTGAGCCAGAGCTGGCCAGTATGGTCGCTAACATTGATGAGCATGATGTATCGATACTCTGGACGTGGGTGAGTTCTATCACAGCTTTCGCACCGCCATTGACCGGGATCCAGTTCCGTCACTTTTTTATTGCACCCTTCGGAGAGGCAAGCAGGGTAGCACATGTTGTCTTGCTTTATGTAAATAACAGTTCCTTTGAGCGAGAAGTAGACTGCATCTTCTGACATCCCTAGTTGTTCCTCGCGTATCTGTGCGATTGTTTTCAAGTGATCCAATCTCATTGCAGACGAGGATGCATTGGACATAGTGGCATGTGACGTGAATGTCTCGTGTCTGCCTTGAGCATCATACCAACCCTTGAGACGATGAGCTTCTTCTATGTCAGGGTCGACAGTCATTGAGCCAGAACTCAACAAACTCAGACTTCGTCCTCCAAAATCAGAGACTTTGACACCCTTGAAAGCAATTACAGACTCTGGCGTGGCATTGAAATTCAATGCTGTGGAGCCCCAGATGGTTAGACGAACAGAAAAACCCGAGCTATCGACCAAGGTAAGCTCTCGCTTGTCATAGGGCTTGCTCGTCGTCTTTGATACGATTTGAGTAGTCTCCCCGACGTCTTTCAGCACCCCAATAATGTCAATGGTGGTATCCTTCTCGACAGACTGGAGATCGCCCACGGTTGTGAAATTGAACCGAACTTGCGGGACATCACTCTGATCCTCTGCCTAAACCAAAAAGATATAAGCTTGTCAGATGTAACTGCGCTCGAGAAATTCACTGACCTTTTCAACAACTGTATCTTTTTCAAAAGTGAGTTCGTAGTCATTGTTCAGATTGGTAAATTGCTTCTTTGCAATCTGAACCCGGCAGGGGCTAGATATATAGTACACGCTTCCTTCATGAAAAACATCATAGAGCAGGTCGCACTGCTCATTGAATCCAGTGGCGCGGATTTCACCACTATCATCGAGTAAGTTGACACTAAATAGCCTACCCTCCGAGTTTCTGTTGTGCCAGGTTTTGATTGCTGATTTGCTCGTGCAACGCGCCTTGATCGTCCATTTATGTGAATAAGGAGAGATAGCTTCGATCGGATAGATGGTGGCGTTGGTCGATGTCAAAGAGGAACGTGCAGGCTGTACGCGAGGTTCCCCTCGCTGATTTTGAACCTTGGAGCCATAAAATCCACCACCGGAGATTGTAGTCGGTTGGGGCTTTTCATCTTCTTCCGACTTATTTTCCAGTGGTTTCGGTTCTCCGATTTTCTCTGCCTCGCCGAGTTCCTGCAAGACTTCGAGATCCAAGATTATAAGGATTCTATGGTGATATTAGCTGCGTGCATAATTTGGGGTTTCGGGGTCTACAACTTCTTCCCCTTGACAGAATTTGCTTGGAATGACTTCAAACGGACAAAACACCCCTTCCTTAGCGTGCCACTCGTTACGAGTGGATTCGCCTCTGTCATACAACGTGTTAATCAGTAATAGATGACGATTCACCGGTCCTCTCTACTCACGTGTTGCAAGCATGGTCTGAACATAATTCGAGATATCACTGAACACGGCTCTGTACCGCTCCTGATGGTTCGGTTGGGGAGGCAAAGGCTTAATCTGGACACACTGGACTATAGGTTCTTGGATTTGCGGTTTGGTTTCATCAAAGATGGCGCTGCAAACCTATCAGTAAATCCTTGTCGTAGCTGACATGCCAGGAGAAGGAAGGAGAAAGGATGGTCTCTGGCAAGGACAAGATAAAAGAGCTCGCGTTTACCTGAGCGCCCCGACTGAGATCTGAGATGCTGCATCGAGAGCCATCGCGCAAGCAAAAGTTGCTGGATTCGTAGTCAGATGGTAAAACGGAAATATCTGAAAATATGTCCAAATATCTTGGTAGATGGGGAAAAAAGAACAGGTACAAGTATAAGTCACTTTTCAATCTAGTATTCGTTTTCCTGAAGCTGATGCTAGGAAAAGTTGGAAGATATCTTATTAGAGATATATGTGAAAACACTTTTTGGCAGTAAGGCCTACGCGTGCTATTTCGTGTAAAACATCCCTGACGCGTTGAGTGGCTACGAGATAGGCGGTAAGGCATGGTCCAAATCCTTCCCCTAAGGAAGGTACCTATCTGTTAGGACCCACTGCGACGTGCCCTGTAGCCTACTCTGTAGTAGGTAGAAGGTAAAGGTACCTAGTACCCACAGGGCACCTTGAGATACCTACCTAACCTCAGGTGGTAGTGCATGGTAAGGAACTTAGGAAGTCAATCAAAAACAGCATTATTATCGGTATTAATTACACTAGTTGCAGCTTAGCACTTAGCTACTCCTTATAAGGTACATTCTCTACGGAGCTCCCTGACAGGCAGAGGTTGAATCTTAGTAATAATCAGCTTAAGATACTACCTTCAGCAGTCCTTTTCGGATAATAACAATCAATAGTTCCTGGGACTACAAATATGAACAGGATCACTCTTTAATATTGAAGGCCACATGCTTGGAGTAAAGAATAATCGAAACAGGGAACCTTCTTCAGGACTTTATGACGTGACCTAGGACCAGCATGCCAGGAACAGAATCCTAAACTATCTACTCCATACAGTCAATAATCTAAAGGTTATCATTATTATTATTAGGTATTATTATTATTATTGGTGGTGGTGTGATTATTTAATTGATCAGGTTAGCAACCCCACCTTGGTAAGAATGTTGCAAGGTGGTGCTCAGGAGTGGTGCTTGGAGGTAGAGTATATTGCCTCACGTCACAGCTCACTAATCTACACATCTTTTGGTAAAGCTAGAAAGCATACGAGTTGTCCTACAGCTTGCTATCAATTCATCAGAAGTCAGTTACTCACTCCTTTGATTTGATGATACGTCAATTATAGCTAATGTCGATCGAGTCAGGATTATCATTGGACACATTGACGATGGCTCATTGCCCTCATAGTAGCTCGCAGGGCAAGTATATTAAGTCCAAATGCTAGCCAAATACTAATTCGAAATACTAATTCGGACTCCTAAAGCTTTGCGACCGCCATCTCAATCCCAAGCTGTCTATCGCGAAGAGTGTACGCAATGTTTTGACTCTGTGGTTCGTCGCTTGTTCCCTTCTTAACATCTTCAGCGAGGGCTAAACCTATTCAAGGATGAGGAGACTGGCCTAAATGTATGCCTCTTTTGTTTCAACGGCGGCTGTACAGGAGATCGAAACCATGCCATGGTTCATTACAAGCGCTTTTGCCATCCTTTAGCACTGAACATCAAGAGGTCGCGAAAGAAGATACAGGTGCGTTGAGGCCATATCTACTCGCAATGCGTACAATGTTCGGCGTCATGATAACATAAGATAATAGCGTGGCGAACCAGCACAGAAAATTTCAAAGCTCGCGATTGCTGCAGAGACGGATGAAGATCGCTATGACACAGCAATACGAGTAATTTGTTATGAGTGCCGCTTGGATGACATCGATGCATCCAGTGGCAACCTTGCAGTCGTGGTAGATGGGGTAATGAAGGCAATGACCTTCTCTAAGAAAGAAGAGATTAAAGCCTGGGAGCAAGAGTTTGTCCCATGCGAGCATACGCTTTGCTTAGTGCAACAAACCCCTAAGCAGACTGAGTCTCAAGGTAATGGTTTTCCTCGCGGGTCCGATCCCCCTGCTAACCAAGGTACGCAGAGCTGAGTCAGTGCACGATGTGTACTTTGAAAGAGAACCTTTGGCTTTGTTTGGAATGTGGTAACCTTGGTTGCGGACGCAGTCAGTTCGGGGGATTGGGAGGAAATTCACATGCACTTGCGCATTCTGACTCAACTTCACATGCGGTAGCCGTCAAGCTTGGCTCAATAACTGCTGACGGGAGCGCGGATATCTACTGTTACAAGTGCAATGAAGAAAGGACAGACCCGGACCTTGCTGCTCATCTTGCTCATTGGGGAATCAATCTCAGCGCGCGCGAAAAAACAGAGAAAAGCCTCATGGAGATGCAGGTTGAGCACAATATGAAATGGGAGTTCTCAACCACTTCTGCGGATGGTCACGAGCTCACCCCGTTATTCGGGCCTGGGTTTACAGGTCTGACCAATCTAGGAAACAGCTGTTATCTTTCGAGCGTGGTACAATGCCTCTTCTCCTCGCCAGAGTTCCAAAGAAGATATTATCATAGCAGCGAAGAGCCACCTTTATCTCAACAACCTGCTGAGGACTTCGAGACGCAGATGAGAAAGCTCGCTGATGGCATTCTTTCTGGGCGTTACTCAAAGCCCAATGCAGACGTGATTGCCTCGCCTGACTCTCCCGAGGTGCCCCATCAAAAAGGATTATCGCCAGCAATGTTCAAACATCTTATCGGTCGTGGTCATGACGAGTTCTCAACCATGAGACAACAAGATGCGTTTGAATTCTTACTTCATCTGTTCAAGCTGATTCAACGCACCCAGGGCCCCGAGGGCAGAGGCAATCCCATTGATAATTTTCGATTCGCTGTCGAGCAGCGTTTACAGTGTCTGTCCTGCAAAGGAGTCCGTTACAGAATAGATGAGCAAGACAACGTCTCTATTCCTGTTCCCGTTCGTCGACAGCTGGGCACTAATAGCACAGACCCCTCTGCGGATTCGGAGTTCGAATCAGTGACTCTCTTTGAATGTCTTGATGTTTTCACTGCTAATGAAATTGTTGAGCTCAGCTGTCCCTCTTGTGGAAGCAGCAATGGATTCTCGAAGCGTTCGTCGTTTAGGACAATGCCGCAGGAACTGGTTCTAAACGCCCGACGATTCGAAGTCGTTAATTGGGTTCCGAGGAAATTGGATATCCCAGTGGATGTCAGCGACGAACCACTAGATTTCAGCCCATATGTTGGCTCCATGAAGGAGGAAGGCGAAAAGCTCCTACCAGAAGACGATCCATCCGATGGTGGGTTCTCGCCTAATCAGAACATCTTAGACCAACTACTTGCCATGGGCTTTCCCAGAATTAGGTGTGAAAAGGCGCTACATGCGACCGGCAATTCAGATACCGAAGCTGCCATGAACTGGTTGTTCTCTCATATGGATGACCCAGATATCGATATACCGCTTGTGGGCAGCAAGGTTACTGGCCCCGCTAACATGGCCCTACAGGATCCCTCGAAAGTAGGTCAACTGGGTGAAATGGGTATTGATGAGGATCGAGCCAAAAGAGCGCTGGCTGCGACAGGGGGCGATGTAGATCGAGCTCTCGATTGGGTATTCAGTCATCCCGACGAGATGCCTGAATATGAAAGTGGTGATCGTGACTCTGGTTCTCGGCTTCCCGGCAATGGTAAAATTCCCGGCTTTCACGAAACCCCGGCTAGATACCAACTTCGGGCCATTGTTTGCCACAAAGGTACATCAGTACACGCTGGGTGAGTCAGAGATCGCGATGTTTCAGATTTATCGAATTGCCAGCTGAGAACAAACAGACATTATGTTGCATTTGTGCGGAAGATGCTGCCGGGCCAGGATAATCCTTCCTGGGTTATGTTTAATGACGAGAAAGTCGTGGCAGTCGATGATATTCAGGATATGAAAAAGTTTGCCTATCTATACTTCTTCTCTCGAGTCGAAGCTTGATCGGATCGTTGGCTGCATATGGATCCAGACTAGGGAATGTGGGCACCATAGATAGGGATCGGTGACTGATGTACCATGTCTTGTCCTGTGAGATATTCACTGAGTGTCGATGTCTTCTATACTGATGGGGAGGTGTCAGTTCTAGTATATCTCACTGGATTATTGCTATTAAAATTAAGACTCTTGACGCGCAATGGTTTAAGATAGTATGCCTGATTCTGTCTGTATGTTGGGGGAAATGGTTGATTGTCTCTCATATCTGCTGCTTATAAATGTAAGTAGGGATGGCACATCAAATGCTTATTTGGTAGGGTCAGCTCTTTATGTTGTGGGGAAGATGGTTGTTTTATTCTTAGCTAGTACTCCGTAGCTATCATTAATATGTGACATGACATATGATATTATTGGATATATAATAATTACCATAATATAAAAGGAAAAAAAAAAAAGGGAAAAAAAAAGAAAGCTTAAGAGGATTAAAAGAATACAGGGTGTGTCTCCTTAGTTATATATAAATCTATAAGTAGTTAAATTATATGCTTTCTTACCTTACTAGTAAGCTTCTACTTAGTTAAGATCATAATCTAATATTATATCTTACTCAACCTCTAATAGATTAAAATATATATTTTTAATCTATTATAGGGCCTTCCTAGTCTAGTTACTAAATATAGTATTATTATAATATCTAGTTATCTTTATAAGTATATACTATAAAGTAATTACTAGTTTACTCTAGGGTATATTATTATATTCTTATTAATCTTAATAGTAGTAACTCTAAGTTTCTAGAGTAAAGATTGCTATACTATCTTATTAGTAAGTATATTATTAGATAGATTATATTTTATAAGATTATCCTTACTATCTATTAGTAGACTATTTATATCTTATACTAAATGCCACTCTATAACCTAATTATAGTATTTTATTAAGTTATTTAGAATATTAATATTAGTTATACTATTATTCTTATTATTATCTAATAATATAATATAATATTTTCTCCTTTCTTTTATAACTATAGATAATTATAGTATTAGTTTAATAAAATAATTAATTATCTTATTAAACTTTTATATAGCTATATATAGTTCTATAAGATACTAAGGTACCTAGGTATATTAGTAGTAGTAGCCTATATAGCTTATTCTACTATATTAGAAAAATAGGCTAGGTCTTATTAGTATTAGGTATATATACTTATATATTATTAAAGAAAAAGGTATTAAGTTTATAATTATTATCTAGATATTTCTCTTACTTTTCTATTTTCTAGCCTTAGTAATAATCTTTTTATCTTATAATAGTTCTACTAGAGATATCTTCTATTTATAGTATTAGTATCTAAATTCCCTTATTAAAATATTATATTCTATATAGATCTTTTAAATCTTATTAATCTACTCCTAGAATATAGTCTTAGCCTTATATAACCCTTTAACCTTATTATT